CTCGCACTGCAAAAACGGAGCAACAAGTGCTCCACCCGACATAAAGATATCCTTCCCTTAAACCCACCATAGTCCTGAGACTGCTTTGCATATTCAAGTGGCGCATTTTCCGTGCGTATCTCCCTTTGATGACTCCTGGGGTCGCGGAGTGTCCTTTAAAGTCGACGCATCGCGAAACTTTAGCGTCTGGCAGCCTGCCATGGAAAATGATAAGAAACAAGTATAATACAATTTAAGCTGTGCACTGCTTGTGGGGTTTACTTATTAAAAATACAACCACATATTGTCACAATTGCTAATATTTAACAATATAGTTAATATTTATAAATACTAGCATTAGTTCTCAAAATTACCATAAATACAAACATTTATATCCGTTTGTGGATTATTTATTTTCCCCTAGTGAGAGTCCTTGAAGACTCCCCTTTGCTGGTTGCACGGCAGTTGCTTATCCAGCTTGATCCATCAGTAAATGAAAACACTTGACAAATGTGCTAGCTCTGACAGCCTGATCCATAAATGCCAGCCACTGACCACACGAACGCCCTCGTTCGCTGGCCACTCAAGTTAATTCAATGCGAAAGTCTCACACATTCCCATAAAACCAACAAGCAAGCACTTGAGCCTTAAAGAGGGGGAACAGTAACAGCAGCAGGAGCAGGAGCAGGAACAGGAACATGGCTAGTGAAAGGAGCAAGAGCAGGAAACGGGAACAACTGGACCAAGGGCATTGGCATTGGGATGTGGGTGTGGAGCATCTGCTGGCCGGAAGTGCCTGCCACTTGTGTAAGTGTCGCGTGTTGCATTTGTTGCTGTCCCGCTCATGTAGTGGCACTCGTTTGTGTCGCCTCTTGCCACTTTTTATTGTGCTCATAATTTGTTGGAGTTAGGAGAGCAACCACTTGGGCCTGACAGGCTGCGAGTGAGGGAGTGGGCCTCATACTCTAAATAAAAACATGAAGATTCTTAACGCTCTTTAAACAGGTTCGAAAATTTAATATTAATATTTAATAGTATATATTTTGAACATTATATGCAACCTCATTAAAATATGTGCCACATTTTGAGCTAAGGTTTTCATACCTATAATCTTTGGTATAGGAAACCCTTCCTTTAGCTTTATAGTTTTTCACTGTCTGATATACCCTTGATTCCCCTTCCACTTTTGATAATTTTGATGTTCGCACAATTTCGAACCAACAGTGTGACCCAATTGCCTCGCAACTCGGCTGGGCAACAGAGCAATCAAACATTGATTGGTTGATCCAGCAAACTAGATCCAGCCAAAGCCCAGAACTCAATCAGCAATTAGCCGTTTCGCCAAATCCAGAGTTCATAATTCAAAATTTTGCGCACGCAAATACACAAATGCATCCGCACTAATTGAAATTTATGGCGATGCGGTTGAATGGTGTGGTGCTAACTTTTTCCCCTCACATTAGGGACGACCAGAAAATATCGCATAATGCAATTGCAACACAGAGGGACAACAATGAAACTGGCTATGACAATGACTACTACAGCAACGATCATGATGATGATGAAGTGGGGCAGTGCAGCAGATAAAGCACATAAAGCACAATACATTAGCGTCCAAGTGCACGGTTTCCGGGAGTAAACGAGCTCGAGACCGTTGACAGGCTGAATTAACGATTGTCCAGTTCTCCAATTGACCATCCCATTTCCCCAGTAACTGTCCAGTGGACAACCAACCAACCACTCGTCCTTTTAGCCCACATCCTTGTATGTACATATGTACATAGGTTCATATGTGTACACACGCGAAGCGACTGCATCGCTTAAATTCCATTATAATTTATTGATTTATGCAAATTTCTTGCCAATAATAAATATCTTTACATTGGCTTATATTGACGAAAGAGTCATTATTGCATTGTTGATAGAACGGAAAAACAAAATATAATTTGGCAATATTATTGTTTAGCTTGATTATTAACGGTGACGAGAGCTTGGCTTTTATTTACTTAAACATTTTTGATACTCAAAAAAAATATCTGTTGTAAAATGTAGCTTTAATATCAAACTAAATGTGTTTAAGTTAATAAATTGTAATATGGTTATAACACATCAATTGTATTATTATTTAAATCTTAGTTTTATATGGTGTAACTTAAGTTAAGGCTTATTAAAAAGCTGATTTAAATGTAGACTTGCACATCTTTTTTTAGGTTTGTAAAATATTATTTCACAATATACTAATATTTTTGTATAATAAGCATGTACATCCAATTATATGGAATATATTTTACCTTAGTAATATCTTATGACTTATAATTTATGACTTATATAATACGATTTATAAATAAAAAAAAAAGATTATAAAAATAATTCAGCGATTCATAAAATATTTCAACAAGTCAGAATTATTTGGCTTTTCGTTCGGGAAACCTATTTTTATGGCACCACCATCCCATTCCAGTCCTGCCATTATCCTTTGCGCACAGCTGATGACCATTTGTTTATGCATTGATAAAGAGAATGCTCACTTGGCACCGCACACACTCATACATTCATACTAACACAAACACACCCAAGCAAACACTCCGAACTCAGCGAATATGTATAGCATACTTTTCGTCTGTTGCTATTTTCGCGTGGCCTTTGCATATTAAGTTTATGTTTTATCGTTTATTGCGCACACTGACACAGGCATAAACGTATATTGCCCACATAATTTAACAAACATTTTCATTTATATGCGCATCTGGCTGTATGTGTGTGTGGGTGGGCTCTTCTCTGTGCGGATGTGTAACATTTATGACCCGAGGACTGGTCAAGAAAATCCACACAGGGAAAAAATGCAATGAATAACTCAAAAAAATTGTCTCATTTTTACAAGAAAGTAATCATTATAGAATATGTAATTTATAAGAATAAAAGAAACATTATCTCGTATTCTTAAGCACGTACTTATATTTTCCCGAAAATAAATTAAAGTATACGTTTATTTTCCCAATTTTTTGCTGTGCAGGACCCAGAACATGAAGCCAGTTCCAGATGGCCATCGGACTTGGAGCGCACATGCCCACCAATGAGGCGAACTTAATGATTATTGCATTTGTTATTTTTATTTATTTATCTGCCCGACCGCCTTGGCCGTGGGCACTCGCCTTTGTTTTCGCCATTATTTTTATGGCTCAGGCGGCCTCTACCGACTTCCATGGATTTCGTTGCCCACCCAAAAGGACGCTGACCATTCCATTTGTATTTTGTTTCGGTGGGTTTAGTCGCGCATATTTCCCTGGCTAAGCGGCTTAGCCCGGGAGCATCGACATTTATTGCCGTCAACTAATGTCTTGTACCCATTTGTTGGGCATTTAAGCCAGGTCCCGCCAGTACTGACCACATTCGGGGATTCCGTTTTCTATCCTGTGGCCGGTCGAACAATGAACTCTATGGACTTCAACGCCACTGACCTCTTTTTCGGGAAGCAGCACCAGCTTATAAATGCCAAGAACAAATGAGCAAAAATTGCACATCCGACCGAGCTTCGAAGAGGATAAAGCGGAAATGCAGGAGACAACTTGGATGGACTTGGAGTCCAGTGGCAGTCGTCGCCATTTGGGAGGGGGGTGACCACTCAAAATACATTTTGGGCAAAAAGCACAACTACCGGACTCATATTTTCAAATCCCCGCCCATCGTCACTCCCCATAAAAATACTTGATGACAGTGGCAGGGATGTCTCGGTTACGAGGTCTGTGTCGCTGCCATCCGGGATATCATTTAGTGTTGTGTCTGCTGGTGTCTTTTTTTTTTTGTTTTGTACTTCCTTTTTGTTCTCTCTGTGCAACCAAAATTGGCTTAAACTGTTGCAAGTTCATAAAACAAACAACGAAATTTGAAAAGTTGCAAGTGCCAGCCGCACTCGGGAAACTTTGCCATGCTTTCTGAACTTGAAATTTACGTTAGTTAAATTATCAACTTCGGCGTCTGGCAAAAAAAACTTTCATCACAAAATGAAGTCTATCCTTTATGCGTTTATTTTAAGAAGTTTTCGAGTCTGCTGAGTAAGCAGGGAAGTCCCTTTTTTTCAAGTCCGCCAAAGCCAATGCACTTTATGTATACATTAATAGGTGAAATACAATTTTAATTTTTATATTCAGAAGACTTTTTAGAAGTGAAACTTAAAATTAATTAAATTAAATTAATTTTGTGTATCAAAGTCGATTAAAGATGTTGTTAGATGTATGTATATTTGAATTCTAGTTATGTATTTCTCTCTTCCTTAAATGTAAATTATAGAAATCTGCATAAGTCTGACAAGGAAATTGACTAAGTAAAACTATCCTTTCCTAGGACTTCTTTAATACCATTTGTGATTCTCAAGGGATATAGATATTTTTTCGTATTTCTTTAGTCTATTCCTTTTATTAAAGAAATTAATTTTGGAATACAAAAAATACAACTACCCTCTTAAAAGAATCTTTTATTCAGAGGGAAGTGCGTGCATATAACTTTGGTAGTATTATGGACGCCGTAAATCGCTTAAACTCACAAACTTCGCGCCACCCCAATCCAATGCCCTTCAGTAATAAGCGTCATGTGTGTAATTTTGGCTTAAGATGACCAACAAAGTAGCCGCAAAAGAGACTTTTGGCCGTGTTAAGCGGTTTAAATGTGAAACATTGTTGGACCAGCTCCAGTTTATTGGATTTACCCACACTGTCAGACATGAGGAGAAATTATAGTCGACTGCCGGCGGACTTTGCTTCACACTTAAGCCGCTTAGCCAGCGCAAAGCCAACTACAAATTACAACTTACTATATAAGTTGAAACAACATCAGGCAATTTAACGTTGCTGAAAGTGAAGATCCATTTTATAAGTAGGAAACTGATATAAAAAGTAGGCTAATTTGTACACGACCTTACATGTTGCCACATTTTCCTTTTTTTTATTCATTTACAAACATATTCCTGGCTTCATTCACGTTGCATTAAACTAGACGTTAATAGTAATGAATACATAACAAAACAATTTATAGGTTTCACAAATTGAGTTTATAATTGTGTGTGTGGGGGTGTGTGTATCTGTGTTTCTAGTTCTTTTATTGCCAATATTTTCAGACTAAATAGCGATCGTGGGAACCTGGGGAATGGATGGCGGATGGCAGGTGGTAGATGCGGAGGCTGGGTCGAAAGCGGGTCTGTAAATACTTCTCAAGCGGTACTCAATCCACGAAGACTACTTTAGAGTAAACTAGATTAAATATGCACATGCACACGGATGTGTATATTCGTATATAAATATAGAGGCTGTGTCGTAGTTATTTCTATTCCTGATTCAGGTTTTTGATCACGTAATTAACAATGAGGGCAAATATCGCAAAGCAGATGATGATCACCAGGTTGGAATACACGGACTGCCAATTCATATAGGAATTGCGAGCACTGTTTTGTAGAGCCGCTGCTCCGACGCCGTTGGCCAGATCCGCCTGTCCCGCTCCTTCGCCATCAATGCCATCTGCGCCATTCTGAGGATGGCCACCAGCACCACCCGCTGCCAGGTTAGCATCCGCCGCCCCCAGGGCAACGCCATTGCCACGCCATTGGCCCGTTTCGTACCGCTCGAAGTAGACGCAGTGGCACCCGCTGCTGCAGCCGCCGCCGCCTGGGTGCCCTGCAATCGCTGCTTGATCTCATCCACCATTTCGGGAAACAGCTCACAGAAATTTGTGTTGCGCAGGTTAAATGCTAAGGATTTTTGAGCAAACATTTGCTTGTCATAGTTCGACGACTCGATGGATCCCAGCGTGGGTGTACTCTCCAGCTGAAAAAGTTATTTGGTTATAAATAATATTGCATAATATTAATTAGATTCTTACCATGAAGCTTAGCAAGCCTGTGAGTATGGTTCCCACGCACCAAGTAGGGTTCCAAGTGTCCGGATGGAAGTCTGGAAAGGAAAAGAATGTACTGTTGATTATGATTTACTCTAAGGGAATATCATTAAATTTAAACATTTTTTGTATATATACAAAATACATTCAGTTAATTTTTTCAATATCGTTAACATGAAGTAGACATAAATAAAGATTGTTAAATTTCACAGTGATTAAAAAATAATAGCTACCAATAACAACAGTAAAAAATGATAAACCATTTTCAAAATTCTAGTATATTAAGATAAGACAAGATATATTTGTATTATTTGACTTCATATCTCAAATACGTTTGTAATCGGAAGTGGCCCAGTTTGTACTTCGGCGATCCAAATTCAATCAAGGAAACAGTACGTATGCATTACAAAATGTTTTGTAATAGCTTTCAGGTCTCATATTAACTCAAAATACAGACTTGTTGAATTATATGTTGCAGTTTTAAAAAAATAAAGCAAGATGTAATCATAATAGGAATGTATGTATGTACAAATGTAAGCCGAAATTAAAAATCCGATATATCTCTCTAACAATATTTAAAGAGTGAAATTTAAGTTATTATTCTTTCTTTTTGTCATATCGGTTCCATATATCGAATCTCGATTTATCGCAGATTTAGAACGTCAAAATATGGATTTATAAATCGCTCCTAAGCCTTACCATAAATATCGTAGTAAATTTAAATGTTAAATTTGATGTTGTAAATCGACCAAATTTTAGAACATTGTTGATATTAAATTTTAATATTTCCAATATATAACTTTGCTCAAAAAAATATATATTAGAGCTAGCACATCTACTTTACGATCATTATACGATTATTGAAAAAATAGAATCAAAGTCTTTTATAGAATAATTAAATAATTTAAATCTAATTTCTGAGTTATTACTGAATTTGTGAAATGGAAATAAAAGTAAATGGAGTCATTGGTCTAGCCCTAACTGCTTAATTGAGTTATATTTAATTATGTCTGCATGTTTCCGAATGCGTCTAATGTTATTTAGACAAGTTTTTTGGATTACCCCAAATGAACAAGCTATGCTTTACCTGATATGCTCAGACAAAGCCTCGTGTTGGTCTTGAAGCGTCCGTTCGGCGTCAGCATGTAGATAGATGGCGGCTTGAAGGGGAATTCGCGCGGGAAGAGCAGAGTGCCGTGATAGTAGCCTCCGTAGTATGGCGAGTCCTCCGGCCCCTTGACGCAGTAGTGCCACTCGAGGATATTGTTGGGCAGCGGCTCCGCGGTGATGTAAGGTAGCGGGTCCCGCTTCAGACGCATGTAGTCCTGCTTCATGCGCGAGACGGCCGTGGGCTGCTTGCGACCGCCGGAAGCCGACGAGGATGACATTATTCTGCCTATATTACTTTAGACAGCTAATTAAAAATAACGACACGGCGAAAATTTAAAGAAATCTATTGAACACAACTGACGTGTTTCTCGCAGTGCACTCCCGTTGATAAGGGATAGCGACGTGGCCCTGAGAATAATTTGCAAATCAATTAAATGACTGTAGCTATCTATTATTCCATCGGGTAATACTTACCCTCCTCCGCCTTCAGAATTTCGGGACTGCCGATGGCCTTTCGGTTTGTTTACCAGTCGTCCGCCTGGCATGCGATTTCCACTCTAATACTAATACTTTTGTTGTTGCCCCTTGTTTAAACAATCAGCCTCGCGAATGCTTACGTTTCTTGTTGTTGGAGCCGTTGTTGCTGTCGGTGCTGTTACTGCGCTTTTGTTGTTAATTTTGTAAATTGCAGCGAAATTGTGTGTGAAAACAACGCACTAACACTCGCACACCCTGAGAAGCCAGCACACACGCACAACTTTCGTTGGGACAGCTAATTAGAGCTGGAATTTGGTATAACTACGGCAAATTCCCTGCTGTCGGTTGTCTTTAATTGTATAAGAACACGATGTGGGCGGGTTTCAGACGGTGCGGAGCGTGAAATTGCAATTTGATAAAAATTTCTCCCGATTTCGTTCTAGAGTAGCAGTGTGACCGTAGGCAGCCAGTGTTGAATTAGGTGTTTCATATTTATGCTTCGGTCACACTGCCACGATAGAACTAAAAAAAAAAATTTTTTAAGTCAATACTATCGATTACTTTGTTTCCGGTCTATCATCGTTTTGTGAAATAAATTCAAATTTTGAAAATTTATTCCCAATTAAATATAAGGTATTATAAAAAATGTATACTTTTCTATTGAACCATTATTAGACATAAATTATCTGTTTCGAACCATTTCAATATTAATGGTTTTTAATTAACAAGACAAATCGTAGCCTTTGCTGTGTTATTGCTAAGTTAAAAAATGCGTTTTCTTTAAAGCTATAAATATTATACAACCCCATATTTTTTCAAGAGATTTAGGAAAAGTTGTAACACCGTATTTACTAGGTGGCCAATAGATCTAAAAAATTTAATTTAAAACATACCTTTCAATTTCTGGGTTCCAATTTATGTTATGTATACCTAGACGAGCCACAAAATATGTTATATTTTGAAGTACACAATTAATTAACATAACATTTATGTTGTGTTTTTTATAGCTTGTTTCTCATAATTGTTTTCACACTTTTCAAACTCACTCGTTTTATTATCACAGTTTAATGTGATAACCATCGTTATCTTTTAAAGTGGGGAATGTTTTTCAGATCTTAGTAAACATTCTTGCGACGAAGAGACTCGCTTGGTTTATACTATCAAAGAATCGAATAAACGTCAGAATGAAGGCAACGGACGATTACAGGGATTACAGGGCATCTGGCATAAATTCGGCCTTTGTCATGCCTTCTAATGGGTGAATGAATTCCAGTCCATAGAACTATGGGCTATTCTTGCTGATAATAAGACTTTACAATTGTAGTCATAAAACTAGCACTTCTTCATTCCAAATCTATTTAGAAACCGATTAGTAATGAACAAGTTAAATGTAGAGACAAATAAGTTTGTTATAGTTTAGACAATTTATAAGTAAAATTCTCAAACAATTAAATATACTCTATGACCGCGACTGTGCCTTAAACAACACACAGGAACTCCCCCTGATAAGCGGCGATCACTGGGAACGTTGTTCGCACATCGCGGGGGGTTGAGGGGGAGCGGGCCCAACCAGATTTCTTATCAGCCCACTCGGGTTGTTTTTGGTCAACGCCAACAGCACTCGGCAAACAGTTGCCTTTCTGCCAGCACCAAGTGCAGTCCTCACTTCGCAGACTACTTCTACCAAGCAACAATGACAGCGATAGGAAAGATCGGTTTCCTGGGTGGTGGCAATATGGCCAAGGCTTTGGCCAAGGGGTTCCTGGCAGCAGGTAAGATATTTAATTAGGTCCAGTTAATCAGGCATGAAACCCTTACAATTTCACAATTGTAGAGAAGTCTTTCATATTCTTCAACCTTTAAGGTTTGGCCAAGCCCAGCACACTGATTGCCAGCGTTCATCCTGCGGATAAGCTCTCCCTGCAGTCCTTCCAGTCGCTGGGAGTGGAGACAGTGACTCAAAACGCCCCAGTTGTGGAACGATCCGAGGTAGTATTTGTGTCCGTAAAGCCACAAGTAGTGCCCACGGTTTTGGCCGAAATTCAGCCCATCAGCTCCAACAAACTCTTCTTGTCCATCGCCATGGGCATCACCCTGCCCAGTATCGAAGCCAGTCTGTCTCCCCAAGCTCGAGTCATCCGCGTGATGCCCAATCTTCCAGCCGTGGTCTGTTCAGGCTGTTCGGTATATGTTCGGGGATCCAAAGCAACAGATGCAGATGCAGAGGTCACTCAGAGACTCCTCGAATCTGTGGGAACCTGTGAGGTGGTCGATGAGTCCCAATTGGATGTGGTAACCGCTCTTAGTGGTAGTGGACCTGCCTATGTTTTCGTGATGATAGAGGCGCTAGCAGATGGAGCGGTCCATATGGGAATGCCAAGGGACCTGGCTTACCGACTAGCCTCCCAAACGGTACTAGGCTCTGGTCATATGGTGCGAGATAGCGGTATGCATCCCGGACAACTCAAAGACGGCGTCACAAGTCCGGCGGGTTCGACGGCAGCCGCCCTCAGACAACTCGAACTGTCAGGTAAATCGAAATAATGATGTGTGGATGACGCACTCTCTTATCGCCTCCAATTCAACCTTTGATTTCGATTGCAGGTTTTCGAGCTGCTGTGGCTGGAGCGGTGGAGCAGGCGACGCTGCGGTGCCAACAGATCTCGGGCAAGTCATCGTAGACACATAGGATTCATTATGTACACTAGGACAGATTCTTATAATAAATTAATAATAGTATGAAAATAAGAGGTTGGGTTGGTTTCGCATCTTTCTTTGTTCTCTTCCCCCACCTTTTTATTTTAAACAATCTTCAAATCAGTTTATAAATATGATTTTCAGTCGTTCTACCGAGACTCACCCCGTTGTTGATGCCATAATCTAGGTTAGCGTGATTCGCAATAATATGAAGGCCGATGTTGCATATTAATATGGAAGCAGCACCACGCTGCTCTTTACTTTCAGAAGCTTAGTACTAGCCTAGCTAATAACTAAATCGAAATCAGCCTAACTGGAACGAGAGAACAACTAGAACTTCTTTTTCTTCTTGGCGCGAGCCAGCTCGTTGAGCTCGCCCTGTTGCATGGATGCCTCTTGGTAGATGCGTTTGACCTTCTCGTGGCGTTCCTTGTCGCTATAAATGAAAAATATATATATTTTGAATTAGCATAAAGAAAATTATCTTGTTTTTTTTATGACAACACCCACCTTTGCAAAGTCTGCTTGAGTTTGAGCTCCTGGACGAAGGCTGTGTCCCTGCGGATCTCTCGAATGGCGCCCTTTTTCTCGCGCTTGATTTTGTGCAGCAACTTGGCCCGCTCTTCCTTGGCCTTGGACATTTTGGGCCGCCGCTTATCATCGTACACAGCTTCGAATCGCGGTTCTAGCAGCCGAAGAGCCTTTGGTTTCCTTTCCGCTGGAGCCAGACGCTTCATTTTTGCTCAGCCAGCTTTTTCGCCAGTTCAGTGGCTTCTTTGTGATGGAGGTGGACATGCTCGGGATAGGGTTCAAGTGGTAGGCGGACGAGCAATCTAAGGAAGGGTTTGGCCAGATAGCAGGCACCAACATGCTCCTCCACCAACTGAAGGGCTTCTTTGATAAGCAGGAGTGCTGCATCCAATGCTCGAACCTTGAAATCCGGAGTGATTGTTTGGGTCACCAGATCCACCGACTGCAGGTGTTGGTTCTCCAAGTCCTTACATTCCTTACTCTTAACTGGAAGGGCCAGAAGTTTGCTCAATGGGCCATCTCGCTCGAACGGTGGTGTGATCTCTAGCTGCTGAACATCCCGCTTTGGTATGGACATGTGCACAATACCTTGTAGGAAGTTAAAAACGGCTGGGAGCATTCTCTTGGATTGGGAAGCGAACTCCAAGACCACGGTGACCAGAAACAGTCCCATGGATATTCCTGACGCGTTCGAACGCGCGCTCTAGAGAGGATGTGTTGCATGAATATAATGCAGGGAGTGACCACTGGGTGGCGAAAGTCCGAGGTGGAGTACAGGTTGGCCACGAGCTTTAAGTAAACCAATGTGTCCAGTGACGGATATGTCTTGTGGTTTTTTCTGAACTCCCCATACTTCTCCTTGATTACCTCTAGCAAGGTATTGGACATCCGTTCCGGATTCAGTTGGGTCAAGTCATACAGGTGCGGCATAAGCTGTGAGAGCAGTTGGAAATGCTCCCGGATATCGTGATCGCTGGCATCTTCAAACAAATCCTTGAGGTACTGCAGCAGGAAAGAGTACAACTTGACCACATTCTCGCGGTTAACACCTTCTAGTTTGGGATGATTGCACTTGATAATCCTTTCCACAATTGTCGCCTGCTGGGAAATAGCGTGTTTGGAGAGAAGTGCCGTAAAGTCCTCGTAGGTCTTGGGCATCTTTATGGTGAAGGGTATATTGGTGTCCATGGAGACGGATGGTTTTCCCTCTGAAGTTTTTTTTACTCGGCTGGGAAGTACTTTCAGCTTCAGCTTCACTTTCACTTTCCGATTCTTTTAAGTCACTCAGATTATTCACATCCGAATCGCTCTCCTCATCGGAGTCCTCTTCCTCCTCCCCATCGCTCTCTTCGTCACCAGTATCCTCCTCCTTTTCTTGCTCTACTGCAACTTCCTTTTTGCCATTAAGGTGGGTACCCAGATTTCCATCTAAATCATACGCCAGGGTATCATCCTCCTCATCATCACCGGCAAAGTAGCCGTAGCCGTCATCCAGGTCGTCTGCTGACCGATGCTTGGGCTGGGAAATGGAAGTCTCCTCCTCCTCTTCGCCGTCCGCACGCATTCTGCGCAATCTCTCCGCTTCTAGCTTCTCCAAACGTGCCGCCTCCTGTTTGGCCAACTCGTCGGGATTGATCAGCTTATCCGTAACACTGCCGCGCGGCTCAAAGATCATTTCCTTAAGAGCCTGTCGTAGGCATCTGGTGGCGGCTTGGCGTCCTGCTCATCCTTAGTGGCTTTGGCCACCAGCGGCAGCAACAGCTTGTAGTTGGCGTCTAGTTTTTCGGTGAGCTCGTACACCTCGTCCTTCTCCTTGACGATTTCATTTTTGCGTCGCTTCTGCTCGGCGATCATTTCCTCGATGGCGGTCTGTCGATCCTGGACGGTATCTCCGTCCCCTCCGAAGTGGGCAGCAGATGTGAAATCAGCTAAAATGGAATCCGTCAGTTTTATTCATCAGATATGTACTACGTTTACTCACCATCCAAACCCTCATCATCCAGTTCTTCGTCGTCGGATCTTTCGTCTCTGTACTGCTCAATTTCCTCTAGAGTCTGGCCTCTGTGCGTTAGCAGCTCGTCATCGTTCAGATTGAACGTCTCCGCTTTATGGGACTGTCGCACCTGCGACATTTTTTCGGCCAGGTAACGGGCGTTCATCACAGATTCGGTCAGCTGGTCACCGCTAAGGTGCTTCCCAATACGGTTATCCTTGAACCTGTTGGTCTTGTGCTTTACCGCAAACTGCTGCCCCAAGGTCTGGGCTCTCTTCTGCAGAGCCTTTGCCCTGGACACGCCCGGCATTCCTCTGTCATGCTTGCAGATCCTGCCCAGAATCTTAAACTTCTCCTTGTTCACGTGCACATCAAAGGGATTCTGCCCGCGTTTACTGGACTGAGAAGCGGTGTTGTCGAAGGGATTAGCGGACTTTACCGTCTTTTTGGCGTAAACCGCATCCGCGCTGGCCTTTTTGTTCTTTGCCCCCATGTTTTATGCAGGATTTATTTAATCAAACTCATCGAACAAAAGCAAAACAAAGTGAGCGCACACGTGCAAGTTAAATGCAAAGATATCGATGTTACTATCGAGCTATCGATGTTTTCAAATTAATTTGCTACTATCGCATGAAAAATAAAATGCTGAATTGGCGTTTCCATTAGATCATGTTTTTTTAAAGGAAATCATTTTGAGTGTTTTTTGTGTTTATCATTTTATTTAAGATTTTACAAGAAAAACCAACTAATAACATTAAAAAATTATAGGTTCCTAAATTTTTAATACAAGAATATGCACTGATTGCCCAAAAGCACAAATGTGTCTAGTAGAAAGCGGGCATAGCTGGAATAGGATTTTTGGTAATTTAATTTGTTTGAAAACTATTTTTAAGATAAATCTATTAGAGTCGAAAAGCAAAATATCTTTTAAAGCTAGAGATTATGAAAATATATTACACCTGCCTGTAACAGTTAAGCACTTTGTGCACTTTGTTCAGCATAATAATTTATTCAAAATTTCGCATGTATATTATTTAATAAGCATCCTTGAACATTGAAAAATAGAAAAAAAAATTTTAAATTGAAGTACTTTATTATTTTCTTATTTATATTTAAAAAAATACACAATTCGTGGATAATGATGGACGGTAGCCTGATAAAAAGCACGCCGCTTGTGATTACTTTTAATCAGAATTAAACGAATCCGACGTATCCCCCTGCTAGAAATTTTCATTCGTAGGTCTTTCAGCCTAGTGTAAATTGGCTATTAACATCTCGCCATGAAGTGAAAACACGTTGGAAACTACAAATCGATGTATCGATAGTATCGACATGTAACTCGATGTTTTGCCTCTGGTCGCCATTGAAAATTTTCACACGCAACGCCGCATACTGAAAAAAAGTATTTTATGTTGTTGAACGCTCAAACGTGGTCGGAATACTGCTAACTGTGCGTGGTTGTGTTAACCTGAAGAGTGGCTTCAAAGTTGTAGAGAAACGATGAGTGCAACGCCGCCGGATTTACTTTCCTCGGCGGCCCGAGATGTCTCAGCTGCAGCGAACGGCGGCAGCAGCAGAAGCGGCGCTGATAAGGAGCGTTCGCGGTCCAAGGATCGCAGTAGAGACAAGGATAAGGACAAGAAGAGGAGGTGAGTTGGCATTAGTTACAAGGAAACCACATTTGCATAAATATATTTATTGCGAGGGCTTCTACACAAGTCAGTATGTATGGATGTACATACATATTTATACATATGTATGTGTAAAAGACAGGTCAGTCGCGGTAGGAGGTTCATGTCTTTAGGAAAATTATTTAAATCTTTTAAATTCCTTATTTTAATAAAATATTTTCAATTATTTCAGGGACAGCAGAGACCGAGACAGCCGGCGCCGTGACGATCGCGACAGGGATCGTGATCGGGATCGTGATCGTGATCGCGACCGGGATAGGGACTCCCGCTCGAATCGCAGCCGTTCACGCAACTACGACGATCACGACAGACGCAGGAAGCGATCACGCAGTCGGGATCGTGATCGCAAGCGGGATCGGGACCGTGATTCCCGCTCCAGGCGCAGCAGTTCGCGGGGTGGACGTGGTGGAGATGATTATGGCGACCGGAACCGACGCCGCCGCTCGCGCAGTCGTAGCTATGACCGTCGACGGAATGATCGTGGTGGACAGCGGGATCAGCGAGATCAGCCATCGCAAAGGAGCAGTAGGGAACGCACCCACGTCAATCCCTTTGACACATCCGGCAATCGGAGTTCGATAAGCTCCTTGAACCAGGATCAAGATCATCCCCGAATCCCATCGCTGTTCGACAGGCAGCCTCAGGGATTGGATACCATACGGGAGGAGCCACGAGAGTCAAGATTTGATCTGACGCAGACAATCCAGGAGCTAATGGGCAGTGCAGGCAGCAAGGGATTCGCCTCGTTCTTTAACAACCAAAACAGCAATGACTCCACCAGCAATGGCGCGACCGATAACGCAAGTAAGCATTAAATGCGGGCTTCACTAAATCGATATATAATAAACTAATGAATCCATTACAGTGGACAGTGCAGCGGAACGAAAAAGGAAGCGCAAGTCACGCTGGGGTGGAAATGAAAATGACAAGACCTTCATACCGGGCATGCCCACCATCCTGCCGTCCACACTGGATCCAGCACAGCAGGAGGCCTACCTAGGTAATAGTCTAACCCCAACCACAGCTGATCGCTTCCGATCCTGCAACTAAGTTAGCCCTTAAGACCTGCAAAATTAGTTTATAAGTTTAATGAGAACCAGTTATGGATAAAAACAGAGAGTCAGAGACAGACAGAGCCGCACGTGAGAATCAGAGACGCCGGGGATGAACAGCGCACGGCCAGAGATCGTAATGCAACCTAAAACATCCAACCAACCAAAATGCAACTGAGCAATCTATAATAATCTCTCGTTCTCTTTTTGAAGGGATTCCGGCCTGGCGCACATACCATTCGATACGATACGATCCAACAAGAGTTCTGTTCCATTCTGAAACGGCTAGAACAGAACATTTATGTGGCTATTCTGCTCCTATATATTTACAGAGATTAATGCGCAGTCGAACTAATCAAATTAATCCCCACTTAATTATTAATTAACTCAATTGTAACGCTCACAGCATTTTCAGTTAGTTTAGGAGCGGACACACGAACGCGATACAAGTCTCAAATAGCCACAATATCATTTGTCCACTCCCCAGATTTTATTAATGCATATCTCCTCCCCCTTTTTCTAGACAATCAGCATGTCAGACGTTTACTAATGTCGAGGTTGCTCTCGATTTTCTTCCTTCTTCTCTAACGCCTTCTACTTGCAGTTCAATTCCAAATCGAGGAGATCAGCCGCAAGCTGCGTACCGGCGACCTGGGAATCACGCAGAATCCGGAAGAAAGGTTTGAAACAGTTCTCTCTCCCCTCCACTGAACGAGTCTCTCAATCAAAGCAATTGCAAATGCCCATATGAAAACACCAGCCACCAAGCAGCACTTTATATTCTACTAGAATCAAAAAGACTGCGTCCGGTCCGGAAGGATGCCCCGGATGTCGTCGTCATCGTCGGGATTGGTGCTGATTATGAGTCAAAAGTCGAACAGGTTTCATTGTGGCATGCCATTGAACTGCAGAGTTCCACATCTCTTTTTTTTGTGTTTTTTTTTAGGCTAAGATCCACTACTTGTTGTGTCACTCGGAATTCGGTTGGGTATTGGCTTTAAACCATAGTTAGGGGTGTCGCAGAATTTGCTGTGGATTGTAAACTCTACAATCTAGAAAATGTACTAATACCAAAAATATCAATAGAGTATCCAATATAATAATGACATATTTTGTGAGTGTAGTATGATGAATCACTTCTCTAATTACTTTAAAATATAATTGTTTCATAATAATTTCAATTATTTTAAGCCATTTTGGCTGTATTAAACATAAATATCGAGTATTTAAAGGCAGCTATGACATATTTCTAAAGTAATTTTCTATATGGTTTTAAATTCAAGCCACGACATCGAGTGACATAACGGTATTCTTATAAGTCTAGGACATCCGAGAAAAAAATTAAAGAAATATCTAACTTAATCATTAAATTTTTGTTTAGTGTGAAGCAGTCCCATGCATACAGAATTTAAACTGATCCTTGTAGCTAATTTGATACCGAAACTTTTTAATGAAAACTAATGACAACTCTTCAAGGGATTCTAGAGACAGCGATCGAAACAATGATTGATTGATTTCCATCCGAAAAGGGCAACCAATAAGTAAGCGCCTGGAGATAACCGGAATAGATCCTACAATTATCATTAATGTCCACTCTTCTTTTCTTCCAATAAGCGTCCCAGTAGTTCGGGTTTCTCTCCCAGAGAAATCCAATCCGGTGCGACACAGACACAGAAACGAAATAGAAAGAGCTACCGAATCGAACGAATTAATCAAAATTCTTCTTTTCTCAATTCCTCAGCGATTAATTAACGATTTCTGCCAACGCTAATAATAAACCACTTGATTAATTAATTTGATTTGCAACTTACAGCATATTCTCGATATTAGTTAGTACTTTATGATAAGACCACTAAGTCTAGCGCCAAGAGCAGCACCCTTTTACGTTCCCAGGCTCAAGATCCCTTTCGCTGAATTCGCCTCTTTCCTCTACTCTTTTCGTCCGCAGGTCTCCCTCTCCGGAGCCCATTTACAGTTCTGATGGCAAGCGGCTGAACACCCGTGAGTTCCGCTACCGGAGACGCTTGGAAGAACAGCGGCATCAGTTGATCGTCAAAATGCAAACGGTTAATCCGGAGTTTAAGCCACCGGCGGATTACAAGTGAGTGCAGAGTTGTAACCATTGAACTATTAATTGATTCACCAATTTATCCAGACCGCCAGTGACCCGTGTCAGCGACAAAGTGCTGATTCCGCAAGAGCAGCATCCGGACATTAACTTCGTGGGCCTGCTTATTGGGCCACGCGGCAACACGCTCAAAGCTATGGAGAAGGATACGGGCGCTAAGATCATAATTCGCGGCAAGGGATCGGTGAAGGAGGGCAAGGTGGGTCGCAAGGATGGTCAACCGTTGCCGGGCGAGGATGAACCTCTGCATGCTTTCATCACCGCGCCAAATCCGGAGGCGGTTCGCAAGGCGGTAGATAAGATCAAGGACGTAATACGGCAGGGTATCGAGGTGCCAGAGGGCCACAACGATCTCCGGCGCATGCAATTGCGAGAGTTGGCTCAGCTCAATGGAACGCTGCGCGAGAACGACATCCAGCGGTGTACCTGCGGCTCCACGGACCACAAGTCGTGGCAGTGTCCGGACAAGCCGATTATCACAAATACTATAGTGTGCACATCGTGTGGCGGGACTGGTCATCTGACCAAGGATTGTCGCAACAAGCGTCCGGGATCCGGAGCACCGGGGATGGCCTGTGAGGATACGCAGGCGAAGATCGACGAGGAGTACATGAGCTTAATGGCAGAGCTCGGAGAGGGACCGCCGCCATCAGCAGCACCTGCGAAGCCAGATCCGCCGGCCAACAATGGACCCCAGTTGCACCGGGCCAGCTACAGCATCTTTGATAAGAAGCCCTCGCAAATGCAGGCCATCCAGTCACCGCCGAGCAGCTCCTCGTCGCGAGATCATCAGCGCGACATGGGCGGATGGGGTGCGACGGGGCACGAGCACGGCCTGGGCATGGAGCACGGTATGGGAATGGAACAGCACACCCACGGCTTGGCAGGGCTAGATCACGGTATGAGTGTGGGCATGGAGCATGCGATGTCGGCCTATTTACCAGCGCCTGGCACCCAAGCTCCACCCCCTATGCCGCCGCCGCTGATGCCATGGATGAGTGCACCGCAGCCGCCGCCACCGGCGACGGAGCCGCTGAATCCACCCATACCAGGCACATTGCCACCGCTCATACCGCCGCCCCCGGGCACAAGTGCTCCGCCCATGCCGCCGTGGGCCGGTGCTGGCTACAGTGGCTGGGGCGGCGGTTATGCGCCGCCTCCACCTCCACCATGTGGACCTCCGCCACCAGCTTTGAGCTTGTCGCAGCCACCGCCACCACCACCGCCCTCCGCTTGAGCTTTGGGACTAGCCTGGGAAAGATCAAGAAGCCGCTGCTGATGACCGCATGAGACTGTCCCTGCAATCAATTAATTATGTAATCCTAATCCAAGACCACAATATAGTCGCTTTCTCTACTTCTCACCATAATCGAGACAAACCTACAAAACTAATTTGTATGTAACGATTCTTAAAAATAAAGGACGCAATTAAATAGTTCATTATCTAAATAAACCAGTAAATATATGTATATGGGAATAATGACCCTGGATGAGGGATTTAATAAAGCAAATTGAAAAAAAATAAAGGAAGTTTATTTAAAGTAAACTGTGTCTATCCAGATTTTAACGTAATATCAATATTTTAGATTTGTGTATTCAATTTGTTTCATTTTCCCTTTAAATTTGTCCAGAATATCAGATAGAATGTCTATTGCACACATGTACACACATATCCCAACGTTAAAATATCGATTTATCAATTTTAACAAATACATAGAAACAGGATCGATAAATAGATATTTTCTGCTCTTTCCAGAATTAATATTTTAAACATCTATCTAGAATATTATTCTCTTTATTAGTTGGAGTCTTTTGTTTGTGGTGAATGTTTCTTCAGGTGTGTTAAGAAGGTATCAAAGGACCTCTTAGCCGTGCTTGGTGAAGTACTTCTTGGACTCCTCCACATCGGGCTTGATGGTGGCCGGGTTTGTCTTGGGGTTCCAATTGGCCGGGCACACCTCTCCGTGCTGTTCGACAAACTGGAAGGCCTTGATCAGGCGCAGTACCTCATCAACGGAACGGCCCACGGGCAGGTCGTTGATGGAGTACTGGCGCAGGATGCCATTGGGATCGATGATGAAGGTGCCACGCAGCGAGATGCCCTCCTTGTCCAGTAGCACATCGTAGTCAGCAGAGATCTTCTTGGTCAAATCGGAGAGGAGCGGATACTTGAGCTGGCCAACGCCGCCGTTCTTGCGGTCCACATTGCACCAGGTCAGGTGGCTGAAATGCGAATCCACGGATACGCCCAAAACCTCAGCGTTGATGTCATGGAACTCCTTGATCCGCTCGCTAAATGCAACGATTTCCGTGGGGCAAACGAATGTGCTATGGAGGATGAAAGCACAAGTTAGTGGCCAAGACATGACAGGATGCTGACGACTTACAAATCAAGTGGGTAGAAGAAGAGCACGAGGTACTTGCCCCTGTAGTCCTCCAGCTTCACCTCCTGGAAGTTGTTGTCCACCACGGCCAGACCCTTGAAATCGGGTGCCGGTTGCTGGACGCGAACTGCAGCCAGGGGAGCAGCTGGAAGAAGAGATGTTAAATGGGTTACTTCGCCACAAATATCTATGATATTACTCACTCTGATGAAGGAGACGGGCGGCAAACTGTTTCTGCCGACTTAAAATGCCCTTGCCAAGCAGCGGCACCTGTAAGGCATATTAAATCGAAATTTATTCAAGATCCGAAGGCGGTTTCAACAAATTACGTAATCGCCATGGCATGTTTTCGAAAAATATGCGGTTCATCGACCAACTTACGTTGCGAATAAGTGTGCGTCCCACGAAAGACATTTTGTTATTTTGCAATCTTAATTATTATGTACTGATAAGGGCTTTTTAAGTCCAGATTCGAGTAGCCGGCTGAATTTTTTAACAAGCTACAAATTAAAAACAAAACTGAAAGTGTGACCAGTAGAGTTGTTGAATATCTATCAATATATCGATATATCGATATTTTAAGTTGATATTTTATATTATTATTACATTATTATAATCAAAAAAAATATTATGCATCAAATATCAGCGATACGTTATTTTTTTTTAAATATTTGACAACCCGAGTAACTAGTACTCCGTGATGCAGTCAATCTATTAAAAAATTTTGGCAGGACAGATAATTTCGTTACTGTTAAATCTATAAATTTAATTAACTTAAACATTTTTACCATAATTCAGTCACCACATGTATATAGCCACATAAAAGTTTTTAAGTGTCCTGGAGTTTCCATTTTGTCGTGCATAATACCCAGAACTAGCCGGGAAATAGCTAAGTTGTTATTAAGAGATGTTGCTTACGTTTTTCATTACGTAGATAGTCATCGATAAGTTGAGGGCGGGAAAATTTGAAATAATATTGCTATTGTCGCGATTCTTACTACAAATGATAATTGATTTGTTTTAATTAAAAGCTAAAGTATTTTAACTACTTGAACACTTTGGATGTCTAATGAATTGATATCAGTTGTCTTGTATTACTAAATACCAAAAATTAAAAAAAAAAGTTTAATTACTTATGAGCCTAGGCTCCTACTTTGTACCAACAATTTTGCTTTAATACATATATGACAGGGATCGTCATTAAATCTCTCTTTGCTCACATGCGAGTTCTGATAAAGTAAAAATAAAACACCTCCCCCCTTATATCCTTTAGAAGCCGATTTCTTTTCAGATAGAGCGATGTCCTGCTTTGTCCATTGTCCACCGGGGGGAATAAGAACAGGCGCGGATAATGGAAAGTGTAGCAAAATATTTACCACGCACTGCACACGCCACACAATGGTAATGAGCTGCTTACCCGTCCAACTATTTGCACTACATGTGTTTTGTTCGCCGCTCGTTAATCCACTAAATGCCCGAAAGCGGCTCAGATCCCTCTTGAACCACGGGATCCTGGCCCTCTTCAAGGAGGGTTTCATTTCGTTTCGTTTTGGTTAAGGTTTTGTCCCTTTGCCAGCTACAATGCCCCGATCTAGATACTTTTGTGCCCTGCGAGATGCCGCCGCATTCGGATCGAGAATCGGAACAATAAACAATGGCGCAAGATATGTGTGCATGCAAGGGCAAATATTTTTGCATATTTGCAGGGATATGTTGGCAAAACATCTGACGAATGGCGGAACGCCCACACACTTAGTTTCCCTCGCCCATTGCCACTGCCGCTGTCATTTCCATATCCATTCCCATCCCTCTGATGTTGAAGGGGATTTTTCTCCTCCCACGGCTTTGCTCCGTTCTGTTGATGGTCCGCCAATGGCGCTCGACTCTCTTACTTTCCCGCAATTAGTCAATTCCCATGTTTGCAATTACGCTCAGTCCTCCCCCAACTTTTTGCACTCCCCCTAACGGGCGGGGGTGGTATGCCCCTTTCCCCTCCCACGCCTGCCCGCTTTTTACAATTTTCGCTGCTTTTCATCTGTAATTTGGCGCAAATTACGCGCTCCAAGTGGCTGCCCGTCCCATTCGTCCTTATGGACATTGCCGTTCCCCAAATGTACACTGTACACAAATTAGCTGTACTCTAAATATGAAGTATATTATTGTTTTAAGTGGGCAATCTTATGACTCTTCTTATAATAATACAAAAACTAAAATTGTCTTTTAGAATATTCTTTAATTAAGGTATTAAAATATGCACTATGCACTTATTCAGTGCTGGAATGCAACACTAGTATTTCTCGTTAATAATTATATTTAAATTTAAGTATTTTAAATACTGTAAGACTGTGCTGTTATATATAGCTTAAGGATTTAAAGGATTTCGCTACAGTAGTAGTACTTTTCGGACCTTACTTTAAAATATATAGAAGTATTTACATATTTATATGAAGCATTTATAGTTAAAATTATTATTTTATGTACTAGTTAATGTATTCGGAATATTTTTTTTTCTAAGATTTTTATGATTTTCTTTTGTGTATTCGGTCGTTAACTTGTTTATGAGTTGGGGCCTGGGCGCTGGGGTCGTGGGGTGCGTTAAAAGGCAGCGCGCTAAGTAATTACGGGCGGCAGTTCGCTGAGGACCCCGAAAAAGTGTATAAATGTGAGTATCCCACGGATTTCCAGGAACTCCCCGGGCGCACGCTTGGCAAATCCGTGGCCCTGCACTAATTCCCAGACAGTTGGACTACTTTTACCAATTAAAAGTGCACGTCGCTTTGTCTACTAGGGTCCAGACTCGGCCGGTAGCCGTAAATACATATACATATGGATAAATGTATCGCTTTCAATCCGCTACTGGTCCGGCCCGCCCGCAGGATTTGCGCAGATTTACATAATTTAAACAAACACTTGAGCACTTGAGGCAGGAGCACGCACTCGTGTGCCGCACTCGCAGGATCTCGGGGCTGAGGAGATTCGAGCGGATTCTCGGGGATTCTCTGAAGGCGTTGCCGACATTCACACGCACCGCTCCTCCTTAGATCCCTAGAGCCCATCTCCTCGCGCTTTCATTGTCGCACAGATGCCGTCATATTAGCACAAATCTGCTTAGGTTTTTGTTACCATCTCGAGTGCTAGTGCTGGCCCAGATTCGGAGGATCTTGATTTGTGACAATTGTCACAATGCCGAGGCTTAGGGCCTCTTGAGTCTCGGATCTGGAGCATCGAGGTGAGGATGCCAAGCGTTGGTGCTCCTGTTCGGGGCAACGCGTAATCCTGATGCAAATCTAGCTAATGTGATTCGTATCGGTAGCAGCTCCCTTACTCCATATCTATATCTGTGCATATCCTTCGCCATCTTTATCGCCTTGCCATTTGCCGCTCTGATGTTCTTTTTTAACACTTTTGTGTGTTTGGAAATTCGAGATGCTTGCCGCCAGTTAATTAAGAAAGTGCGCAAAGTAGAAAACAGACACAAAGGCATTGCATTACAGCCGTGAGAGTTTGGTTCCGGCAAAATGAGACACTTCTTCACACCTGCTTTGGCTTAGGAATGGCAATGGATTCTTTATATAAATGGGAATTGATTTACTTGAATTTAATCACAATGAACTTGATTAATAACGGAATTAAATCAGTGGTAATTTTAAATATCCAACTAAAACGGTTATAACCAGGATACCATCTATCCCATTCACATCCAGACAGCCACAATGACATGCATTAAAATGGCGTTAAAAGAACTGCCATTGATTTTGCTGCCATTATAAGTAGCTGCGGCTGCCTTCCTACGGATTTATACAGTGTTTTTGTTATTGCAACAATTTGAATACATTTATAAAAAGCACCCGGCCCCGGGACCATTAATAATAATTGCTGTGATTTAAATTTTAATGCAATTGTTGGTAAACACACAGCACACAGCTGGAAGTCCCGGACTTGGATGCCAATGGCGGAGCGCCTTTCGACCGGGTTAATATGTATTTATTGCAATGGAAAATTATGCGGCATCGATGCGGCCAGTGGAAAAACAGCTAAAATGCATTTGGTAGTTAAGTCAGTGAGGGGAAATTGTAATAATTAGAAAAGTTGAGACTTTGATTTTAAATGCGAAGATCTAATCCAAGCCAACAACTAATATTAGTAGGCTTAAGTGATTTAAAAATAAGGAATCTAATAATGACGTGTTTTGACTAAAAAACTTGGGAATTATGAGGAAATTCAAAATGCGGTTGGAACAGAGCCTCTGCAACATTAAAGTTTTTTACTCGACATACGCCTGGCAACATTTTTCTATCAAAATTTTCTTTGGTAAATTACTTTTTTCTATGTGGTGATATTCCATTAATAAAAACATAATTATACTTTTATTTTAGTTGTGGCACTCTGATTCAATTCAAACTCTCATCAAAGTTACCTCACTTTGCAATAGAAAATTGTAATTTAATTTACATATACAAATTATAGCCCCGCCCCTTTGGCACGCTTTTGCTGATTTTCAAAGCAATCGCAACAATTCAATCACTTTGATGTTTTTCAACCCACAAAGCGAGAGCCTGGTTCTGGCCTTCCTGCCGCCCAGACAGGCCACGCCACCGTCTCTCCCCATAAGCGAGGATACGTATGTATGTTAACGCCCAGTTTCAGACATTTAAGCGCCCATAGTCGTCGCTTTTTAAACATCAATGCGATTGCATTTACCCCATCTGTGTATCCGCCTCGAACTCCTGTTCCCGTTCTCCTGCCACTCCAGCTTCGATCCCAACACCCTCGACACTCGTCCATCCATCCTGTGAACAGGACCTGCCGGCAAACAACATGTAATTTCTTTAATGGTTTTCCCCACTCACACTCTCCTTGTTCGCTGGTGCCGCAATTCAGAATGAGTGTGTCCGAAAATGAGTAAAAATCAAATTTCAAATGAATGAAGGTGCCAAAAATAGAAGATTGGGAAAAGAAATTGAAATATTTTGGCAAAGTTAAAATAATAAGGCTGTTTCGTTCCCAATTGGTTGCACATCTTATCACAGCTTTAGCTCTGACTTGTAAATAAAGTAGTTCCTACATATGGGGAACCTTTAATGACCTATTTATTAACTCATTCCCAGCTCTCAGCACTCCCATAAAAATCGGTTATTATAATTGAAGCATATCAAAACCGTAAAATGTTTACAATTTAATTACATTCTGAAGTAGCTCGGCCAGGTTCGTGTTCCTGTGTTTGTGTGCCTAAACGCATTAAAACACTTCATTATGCCTAATCCTGTGTGACGTAACAAAAGCCAGACACGCACACGCACACCGGAGCTTCCTCCGGAGAACCCTTCTTGCCAACGACTCCCGGTCGAGCATATGCCACTCGACTACACTTGAGCAACTCTATTAACAAGGCGGGGACTCGACAAGGATGGGTCAGGAAGGGGTGAAAACGTGAAACTACTACTCTCTGCGAGGGCATCCGGATCGGGCTTGGGCTTGGGCCTGGGCTCGCTTTAATGGCGGTGAGGAGGCTACATGTTAGCATTTGCATTCGAGGCGGGAATCACGGCCTGTCAGAAACCATAAAGTGTGTAAATACCTTGTTTCAACTTGTAGTTACCCGGTTACACGGAGAGAAATTCATTAAGTATCAAATTAATTAATTAATTTTTATTTGGACTACTCAATACAACCCAATAATAACTTGCATAATATATGGATATGACACCTAAAAGTCTTTTGTGTTAAGTTATATATTCTACTTGTACAATGCTTAATTGTAATTTGTATTTTATATTGTTTTTTGCACAATTATTTATTGAATAATAATTTATCATTAATTTCCCTCTCTGTTGTAGCTAGGCTGAGAGTATCCCTGACATTCAAAAGTCGCGCACGTGTTTTGAGGCACTCAAACCACTTTGATTTCCTCGATGTTTGCCATTAATTTTACGCCTGATTTCAAGCCGTATGCCAGTATGCTTTCTGATTGATAAAAATCTCACGGGCAGCGGCCATTAGGGTAACGAACAATAAGCGTTTCATAAGCATTGGCATATTCATTTAATTATATTTTCACGATCCTAACGGGCCAAGTGAACAGTGTGTTGGGAAAACAGGCCACACGCCCTAAATTGTTCACTTGGCCGGGGAGCTCGACTATATCTGGCTATATCCATCTGCAGCTAACTAAAGTTGATCACATAATTGCTAGGAATCTCAGCTCGATCAGCTCGAGTTTGGCTCAGACTGGCGCCGAGCGACTCAGGATCGAAGTTGAGTCCCGTTCTCGGCCATTTTAATTGCAATAATAATTCTTGCCTGCCTTGTGGAAGATGCAAATGCGGGGAAGGTTGGGAAAAGTCGGACCTAAGGAAAGGTTGGTAAGGGAAGGGTGCAACAATCGCGTATATCTTAAGCCGATCTAATGCCGATATCCCAGGTACTATATATCACTGCTACCGTTTTCGCTACCTCCGGTCTGTCCGTCTGGCTGCTCCGTTGTGTTGGCAACAAATTGGATTACAATTAAATTGCATTTACATGCTGCGCTCTGGTTCGGCTTTGTTTGTCCGGGGACTCTCAATTAAAACTTTTCCATATTCTCTATATAAATATATTTGATATGGAAACCTTGGGACGTGTCCAGCTGTGCTCGGTTTGAGATTTGCCCGATAATTGGTGTTCGCCGACCAATCGCTATACCTATATGGGAAACAGTATCATTAGGAGTTTTGAGGGATGGAACAAATAGATATTGATATAAAGTCGCTGTAAACATTTGGAATATTATAAATAATAAAGAATTAAATGAGAGTTTGTCTTAAAGATACTACCCCCATAGTTGTTTCTCTTTCCATTCCCTGTACTATAAGTTTGTGGCTATAACCTACACTAATCCCGTCATAATGCATCATCATTAGCCAAGTCGGGGAGCACTCTTTGGTCATCGCTACTTCGACTGCTACTTCCTTTGTGCTGTGATTGCGTTGGCTTTCAGCATTCGCCCGAAAAATAATTGAATTGTTCTTGGTTATTTATTTTATTATTTTGCTTGTCTCTTATTATTGTTCAGCTTACTTTGGCCCGAACCCACAAGCTCACACACCACACACACAGAGCCATTGGCATCACTATCATCCAGAGCCAGCTCTATGAGCCATGGTTTCAGTGGGTAAAATTGGCGGAGAATGGCTCAGGAGGTGGATGTGGGTCTGAATGCGGAGCTCTCCGGCTCTAGATGGGTAGCACTTTTGCGCCATCAAAACGGCGCGTCATAAAATACGCGAATTGCATTTGCCATTTACGATGTGATTTCCGTTTTATCTTTGTTTCCCCCGTTTTTCTTTTTTTTTTTGTTCTGCTGTCTTGCTTTTGCGTGGCTTTGTTCTTCTGCTTCTTCGATGGGGCTTTGTGGTGGGTGGTACACTGAGAAAAACTATCACAGTTGCTGTCAACATATATATGAGTTTGCTTAAAGGAAATTAATTTAATTAGTTCAGGAATGAATTTAATAATTTCAAGAAACACTTTATAGCACATTTTCTCATCACTTAAAATGTGTGTTAAAGTTTTTGGAAATGAGTATAGTTTTGTGTATTATATTTTCATTATTTATTGAATTCAAATCGATGAATATTTATAAACAACAAGCTTAAAATCAGTTGAAGCCTTATATAATATATTTTCTTATTTAAATAAAATTGGTTTCTAAGAAATATGATCATAACAAAATTTTAAGTAATGAACGTGCTTATATTATATATATTCTTATTATATATTCAATTTTTAAGAAAAGTTTAAGACCTTCTAAATCAAAGTCAGCCCTCACTATATATTATACGGATTTATTTATATACTTTAAATTAAAAATTCTGGTATACCGATAAACATTAATAAGTGAATGTAAGACCACTCTATCGTATATCAGCTGCATCAATAATATATTTTAAAAATTATGGGTTGGACACGTTTAAACTTTATGTTTCTTTTATTTTAGGAATAAAATATGAATTATGTTGTAGAAGAAAATGGTTTATTATCTTTTTCTTGCCACAATCAATTTTGCTTTTTCAGCCTATTAGCAGGAGAAAAATAAAGCAACCAAAATAAATAAATTTAAATAAATTTCGCAATCAATCCGTGATCCGTGATCAAGGCCCAAATTGATAAACTAAAAAGATGACATAACTAGAAAGTGTTTTGGCTCAGTGCAGGAGGACTTCGTGGTGATTCCTTTGGGGATTTTGCGCACAAAGCAGTGCGAAATTGAATGTGGGATTTGGCAGAGAGATAGACGGGCGGCGCTCCCCTCTGTGGGGTGATTTGCGTGGGGTTGGTAATTTTATTGCGATGCTTTTTATGATGTGGCGACAAATTGATATTTCCCCTTGACCGGGGACGATCGGGGACGGGTGGAGCAGTTGACTGGCCGCCGCCTTTGAGGGCCAATTGAGCTGCACGGCCACCGCAAACGGAGGCAGGACTCCTGATGCCGCCAGGACACACATGAAACACTCTGGGCGGTCGGCCGCCCGCTGAGTCGCCCCGCTCGTCGTCTTATAAAATAATTAAGTCTTAGCCTCTATTCGTCCTTCCTTTGTCTGTCGCCGCGGCGGTTTGTGTGTGTTTGTTGTTCGGGTGTCCGTTGTGCGTGCGCATCCTAGCGAAATTAAGGACTTTAGCGCGATTTTCGCCATGTTTGCCGCTGCCATTGTCCGTGTGTGCCGACACAGGGATCTCCCGTTAAATTTGAAACTTTTACTTTTCCCTCTCCAGCTCACTCACTCACTCACCCATTGATTCGGCGGGCTCTGCTTTATGTCGTTTTTCTTGTGCTGAAATCAACTGTAAGTTAATCGCATTAATCCCCGATCGTCTTTCAAGTGGATCCTCTGCGATCCTTTTGCCGGCAACGCATTCAATTGCGAAATTACAAAGGTTTTTGAGAAGGGTTTGCCATTCATAGCGATCTAAAATTAGGTGAATTCGATACGTAGAAGAAGATGGCTGTTTTATGCAAATTTATGGAATTGCAGACATGTCGTATACGTTATATTCTTGGAAGATTTGCGTCTTGGAAGATAAGCGTCTTGGTAATAATTTAATAAATTTTAATTTATAATTTCATAGGCTGGTCTATACGATTCAAAAATATTTTACTTGAGATTTTTCCGACCTTAACGGACGCCGAAGCTTATATAGGCTTGCAGATTGCAATTCGATCATTAATAATTATATACAAATTATATATTGTTTTATTACATTCACTTTACACAATTTTATAAATTCATTAAATATACATTATTGCTATATCTCAAATTAGATGAAAATATGTTGAAAACTAGAAAAGTTTGATAGCTATATATTTTATATAGTCGGAAGAGTCACAACCTTCCCAGGGTGACTTCTGACTACAATTAAAATAAGGTGCAAAGCTGTAAACATAATGTTGGCTAAACATGTTAATGTTGCAAGTAAGACCTAAACAGATATGATAGTGAAACTAGTGGATCAAACAGTTCATAATAATAATATATTTTCGAATATGAAGGTTTTTACTTTGTGTTACTTATATTTGCAAAATAAAATATAAATAGTTTTCAAGATGACTAATAATTAAATCAGTTTCTTTGGTGTTCATCAATAAGTAAACGAGAGCAAAGCTCTAAAGGGGGTCTTTAATGCTTAGGATAGAAATCTGTAAATTAAAATTAAATAAATTACAATAATTAAAATTATTCAGATAGGTGACTCTAGCTTACATTTTCAACTAAACAGCATATCTTTTCCGGGGGGCATTGACCGGCTTTGCGGAAACCTATATCTTCTCGGCACAGATTCCCATTGACACATTCGTAATCCCCATCGCAAGTCGCAACATTAAGTACCTGTTTAAATTAAACAATTTTCATTCAAATTATTTAACCTATTATGAAAATTAGTTTTATTTTTGCACTTACATCCTCTGCAGCACAGCAAACTTCGTTGCGTTTACATCCAACAACATTTCCACGATAAGTAAACGAAGCGTTGCATTTATTTCTAGAAACACACTGAAAACTTCCTTCAGATTCGCAAGTGATCGATGCTTGGCCGATTCCCAGTAAAACCGAGATAGTCACCAGAAGAGCAAGTGTACAATGTGGGGCCATTCTGCAAAATTCCAGCTTATACTGATACGGAATGTGAGGTCTGCGGGGTTTATATATAGCTATTCGAGGCTCACCAGATAAGCGATGTTCGACCGAGATGTATATGAAATAATATTTCAGACGAATTGAAAGTTCTAAGAACTGTGTAATGATAATACGAGCAAATAATCAATATAATTAAGAGTGTAGTGTCTTTCATTTTGCATGCATACAATTCCCTTTGAAGCATTAGCTTAAATATTGTAATAATTTTTTTGCTGTAATTCATGCACTTGAAGTTGTTCTTTTGTTAAACTCTTAGCTCAAGGGGGCTGAACAAATTAAACCAATAATTTAGCTGTCAATTTTGTAACGCTGCGCTGCCCACACAGACATATCGGATTCATGTGCCGGCCATCAGGCAAAGACCGCTCCTTGGCCATTAATTTTCCCGGGGATTGATGGCGAAAAGGATTCAATTCGTACAACAATCGTAGCTGGCTTGTTCGCTCCCTTTTATCTGAACTCTCTCTGGATATTTGCTGCCAATTTCAAGGATGCCGCTGGAAATTGGTAATTTTATACGGTTGGCGGTGCCTGTTGTTCGGTTGGTTGGTCCGGTTGGCTCGATAGCGGTCTCTTGATTGTATATAATACAAAATAATTGCTTAAAATTAAACCATAAATGCTTCGAGCTCCTGTGGGCTCCACTTGTCGGCTTAATAGGAAATACGAGCAGATCCCAATAATTTCCCTGGTGTTTTGATTACAATGAGAAAGGGGTTTGAATATTATTTCCTACCAACAACTCAAAACTGTTAACGCTATGTAGAAATGATGGTGCCTTATTTGTGACAAATAGGTTTATGTGTGATGTAAACAAATGTGTTACTCTGAAGAACAATTTAGAAACGATATCCACCTATAGATGTATTCAATGTGAAACAAATACATCTTTGACACTAACTAATTATTTTCAAACTAATAATTAAGTTGTAGATTTTAAATGCTCTTAACATAGTTTCCTTTAAGTGGTGCACCTACACTTGGCACTCAATTAGTGGGAGCGAAAAGGATAAGTCCATCAGTAGGAGTAGTCCTTGATGAAATACGGGTAATCGAGGGTTGATAATGCGTAAGGAAATCGGAAACGGAAACTGTTCAACTGTTGAAATCATAAAATATTACCGTTTGCAATACAATTTATTTAAATCAAAGTCTAAAGCGTTATTTACGAGCACTGTGGGGTTGGATGGGTTTGTTTTCCCGCCCGCTTTTGGTGTGGCTTGGGGCGGCCACTTTGGTACTTTGGAGTGTGTGTGTGTATGAGTGTGGATCGATGGGTTTTTGGGGTTTGCGTGCGCTCTTCCTAGCTTTTCCATACCGCCATTGTTTGCATTCTGAAAGAAAACAAAAGCCAAGCCCCCAAAAGCGAAGGAAAAGCGCGTCACACAAATTTAGCTGACTAATAGCCGCAAATAGCCAAAAGGATGATAATGATGTGATGGGTGGTCAGCATAGCTATGCTATATATAGTGCACTCTAGAAAATACGTCAACATTTGCATATGAATTAATTTATAAATAATTGTATATACAATTTTGTTTGGTATACATGATTATTTGTACAATAATCAACCAAATTAATAGTTATTAAACGCAGAGCATTGGAGCATAGAAGTTAAAATACATATATTTAAATAGTGCTGTTTAGGTCTTATACTCATTTTTAGTTTTGCTTTTCAAAAAATAGTTAAAACCATATTTAAATTGAACATTATTGAAAGAGATTTGGAGTTTATAGGTCGCTTTAAAGGGTTTTAGAAGCTTACAATAATTTAGATAACTAAATTCTAAATTCTAATTCTCTGGTTCAAAGTTGTAATATAAGTATTTATATTATTTTCCGATATAACTTTAATTAATATCTGTTTAACTTCGACTTCATAAGTTTCCCCGAAATATCTATTGTTTTAAGGTAAATTTAAAAGCTGTATAAAAGGATGATTTGAAATAGAAACGAGTTCCCTAACATTTAATGTACTTATTATAACTATAATAATTATATTATAACTATAATAATTACATTAAATGTTAGGGAATCACATTGTAGAATACTATAATTATAATAATAATTTTTAACTTACTAAGTCAACTTTTGTCTGAGTGTATGCACTGCTGATAGGGTGGCATGGACTAGGGACTACAACTCCATTTGCTTTTAACCATTCCATTTCGTTCTATTCAGATCATGGCATGTCCACTCCACAGTTATTGTTTTGCCATGCTTTCTGCCTATTATACAAAATGCTACACAAGAGCCCAACTAACAAAGGCCTTGCCCACTTGCCTAATATGCTGGAGTTTGTGTGAGTTGCAAAATCGAAATTTGGAAAATTCCGAAATTGAAATGGAGCAGATATACAAGGATGCCTCTGCCTCTGGTCCTCCCTGTCCCCTGTGCGTGCCTCCCCATCCTTTGCTGGAATAATGTTAGTTTTTGTGTGAGTAACTTCAATTGCCAAATTAATTGCAGTTAAGTCGAGCAAGCTCAGCTTAGCTTCCCTCTCTTTCTCTGTGACCATTGCCCTCTCTTTCTCTTTCCCTACCTCTCTCACTCGTCGAGTGTGTGTGTGTGTGCAAGCTAAAGTGGAGTCAATGAAAATTGCAACTCCCACTTTGCTCGTACGTCAATTAGACCCCTTTCCATCTCATCTCCCCATCTCCCTCACACTTTCAGCCCCTCTCTGTCTCGCTTTCTCTACTTCTCTTTGGGCCCCCGCTCTTTCCATTGCAGCCTTAGCTCTCTTAGCTCTTTTATTGCAGTGCAATTTGTTGTAGAAATCGTTTTGTCCGACAGTTGAACAGTTTGTTATTTCTTTTAAATGTTCCCCAGCAAAAGAGCTTTTTCGAATTTTTGTGGCTTGCCTTGGCCAGCGGTCAGGCATTGAGATTAATGGCTTTTCCCCATTTCCTTCTTACTCGAAACATTTCCTATACCCTCTATTCTATAGAAAAAAGGATACTGATAAGTATTCAGTTTTAAAGTTGGTAATTTATTCATGTATTTAATGCGATATTATATTGAATTAATTGGAGCTTTAATGACATAGTATTAAGCGACTTAAATCGTTTTAAATATTTTAAAATGTACAATTTACAAAGAATTTGTAAATAGGTCTTCAAGGTACTGAAGAAAAAACGCATTTTCCATTTGTGAATTGGAATCGAAAGGAATGTGGGACAGCGCCCAAGTGTCACTATTTTTGAACCTGTACTTCCCCCCAGATATCCCACTTCGTTCTACCTTCAGAATAATACATTTCTGCCCAACCCTCCTTCCTACCTCCCAGGACATTTTTACAGTCCCCAATCCCAGTCTAAAGTCTTACACGAAAACGAATCAAAAGCCAGCAATGCACGGAGGGAAATTACGGGAAAATGTGTTACGGACTCAGGTGAGGGCCACCACCTTCCCCGTGGACGTTGGGGGGTGGTGGCAGAGAACAGGGGGGTGTTGGACAGGAGTGGGTTGCCCTCAGAGCACTTGGAGACGCACTTTGGCAAAAGCAATCTTCTAAACAGGATAAATGTAATTGCGCATGAATTTCTACGCATATTTCGGCGTCGCTGTCTGAGCTGCAAATGTTTGTTCGTTATTTGTTTTTCTCCTTTTTTTTACTTTCTAGCTTCCTCTGGTTCTTGCCGTCGCTGGAAAGCGTTCTCCGGCGGCTGAGGAGCGGCCACCCCATTGGCCCCGCTCTGGCCACGCCCCCACAGCAAGGAGAGCTCGCTCTCTATCCCTATCTCACTCGCGCCGGTGTCGCCATCTCTCTCTCAACGGGTAATTGACTCGCATAATGTTTGTTTTGTTTCGAGCAAATCGTTTGCAACACTCTTTGAATGCCTCGTGGTTGTCTCGTAAAAAGCGAAAGCATTTAAAAATTCAATTTGCCCTCTCTCTCACATTTCTCTCGCTCTCTCTCTCTCTCTCTCTCTCTCTCTGTGTGTTTCAGACTCTCTCGCTCTCTTAGTCTGCAAAGTTTTTGCAGAGCTCCTTGGCAAAAATGGCCGCCTGTCTTGGCGTTTAGGGGAGGTTTTCTCTTTTGGCGAATGGAACGCAGTGGAATGGAACACAATCGAAGACGTAGAGTTCTGAGAACTCGTGAAAGAAGGAGAGAAGCGAGGATAACGCAGTGAGGAAATCCTGTGGAGTCATGGCACTGATGCTGTAAAGATAGGTTGTAGTTAATATTTATTCCTTAATTACAAATCTAATGTATTATTTTGAGTTATATTAAACTAAATTTATAAGGAATACGCATTAATCTAAAAAAACATTTAAGATGTAAAGTTGATCTCTAAAAAGTATGCAATGATTTTATGATTTACAAGACATATGTTTTACCAATTACTGGGGAAATAAATGTTTAATTGGTGGTTATATTTTATGTTATAATCTTTAATTGATTAACAATATATCTATAACGAGCTAGTCTTTATTTAATTATCTACAGCTTTCGACGGAACACTACAGAATTAAGTACTGTTTTTAAAACCTCTAAAAATGTGCCAAAAAATAGACTGCAAAATTTTAAATTGTAACAAAATATATTTACATTGAATTTAGTAGCTTTTAAATTGCATTTCATTCTTTTAATTATTGTGTCAAGCGTTTCAGTAGCCCTTACAATATGCATTACAATTATGGTTAAAAGGAATTATAAGATATATATTATATTATATCTAAAGACCTAAAACAAACGAAAATTTCATATACAGATTAGATTAAGTTTTCACAAGGCAAGGTGACAGTACATTATTCATTTAATAATAACTTTAATAGCTTTGGCTTAAGCTACTTTAAGTGTCTGGTTTGTTCTCATAATATGCTTAAAATATTTTATACAAACTTTTTAAAATAAATTACTAAATAGTTCAAAGTATATTTCGCCAAAGATCTTTCACAATTTCCGCAACCCAATTTAGTTTCCTTGATAATCCTTTCACTTCAGCCTTTTTAAAGCAATCCAAACCTTTTCAAATCGTTTCTCATCCGCTCAGACAGTTAGCCGCAAAAGTTGCAATCAATTGGTACATATTCGGCCAACACTTTTCTGGTCGAAAAAGTTTGCATCTGGCTGGCTGGAAAATTTCAATGGCGCCACAGAGCAACACTTGACCCCTCTTAGGTGGCAATTGATTGATTTTATATTGGCATTTCAATGGACCCAAGCCGAGCGATTCGACTCGAGTCGACTCGATTTTCGAACCGAGCCGAGTGCGCCCCCACTTTAGGTGTGTTCCAAATGCCAAGTGTTTCCCTCTTCTGGGGGGAAAACCCACTCACAGGACACTCTTCACCCCCACCACAAAAATAAAAAAAAAAACGAAAAACGAACCGTAGAGCCTGAAAAAAGTGCCTGTCGATGCGGTTGCAGTGCAATTGTCGAAATAAACGAAAAGAAATTTCAAACTGCAAATGGAATGGAATAGAGCGAGTGTCTCGCTCAGGTTAGAAAGGGAGGTCAGAAGCCGAAAGAGAGATAGAGAGAGCGAGCTGAGAGAATGGGACACACCCTCCCAGGAGGGGTAGGAAAACAGGTAAGTGTGTGTGTGCGAGTGTGTGTGAGTGTGTGCGGGTTTGTGGAAAACCATTTAGCGCAAAGACCAAAAGAATTTGCAGAGCTGCCAACCAACCACCTCAGTCTCAGTTTCAGTTTCACGCTCTCCGGACACGAGACCGGGGGTTAAAAATCCAGAGGCTGAAACAATAAAAATACTAAACGATCGCTTTCCCACACACACACAGGCACATTCACGCGCACACACTCACTCACACACAAACACAAGCCCACACAGGCCCAAAGGACACAGGACTCTGTCGAGGACTTGTGCGTCCGTTAACAGTCGCATTTGAATTTAAATGCGAAACGTTGATCAAACGGTGCAGACGTGTCTCTCTCCCAACGGTAGCGCTCGGCGTTTTCCCATTTCCGAGTTTTCGTGACCACAAATAGAGTGAAGAAAAACCAAGTTCAATTAACATACCAACATTTCTGAAAAAAAAAAACACAAGTGAATAACTAAAAACAAAATTTGTGTAAAAGAACTAGAACAAAACTAAAATATATATAAACAAATATTGCTAAACCTTAAAAATTCGTATATTTTGAATTAAATTTCTAAATTAAAGGCCCCAAGCTATTGCCAATAAAAATAACAACTTATCAGCGCCCAATAACCATGTCTTCCTCCGAGGCCGAAGTTGATATCAGCGTGGTCTCCAGTCCAGAGCCGAGCCCTCTGGGCGCTGCCGCCCGCGACAGTCCGATGCTGGCCCGCTCGCCAGCCCGCTCCGCCGACGGCAGTTCACCGCCGGCCACGCCCACGCACCGCTCCAATACCCCAAACACGGCCGCCGGTACGCCCACCACCTCGACCTCAACTTCCGGCGGCACCCACTTCCATCACAGCCCCAACGGTGGTGCTGTGCCGCCGGCTGTGTTGCACCATCACCTGCAGCATCACTTGAGCACACTGGGGGCCATCCGGTGGCGCTGCACCATGCTCTCCACAGCTTTGGACACTTGCATCCCGCTCACGGGGCCACGCATCCCGCCCTGCTGCAGCACGCCCTCACGCCCACCAGCCAGCAGCAATCACAGTTGCAGCAGCAGCAGTTGCAGGCGCAACAGCAGCAACAGCTTCAGCAGCACGGAGAGCGCCTGAGTCCGCCGCCCAAGAGTCCCGAGCGGAACGGCGGCGAGGAGCTGCACGGCCACAACATCAACTTGAACAACAACAACAGCAAGGCTTTGAATCACAACAACACCTGTGCCACAGCGGCGGCAGCAGCTGCAGCGGCTGCGGTGGCAGCGGCCAACCTGAGCGCCAATAGCAATGACAGTAACGGGAGCAGCGGTGGGGGCGGTGGCAAGGCCACCACCGGCTCCAACGGCTTCACCAGCTTCTCCATCTCGAGTATTCTGAGTCGCAGCGAGCCGGCGAAGAAGAATGGAGCCGCGGCGCTGATAACGCCGATACCGCAGTTGCCACAGCCAGGACCCGGAGGGCCACAGGATGCAGCCATGTTGTCCAGGTGAGTTATAAATTATATAACTTATAAAGGCGGTATAAGCTGAAAATGAATATTGGTATTTTGAAAGTTTTTTTTAATTTCTCAAAAAGAATTTAATTTCTCTTGATTATATCCTTAAAAATTTATAAAATCAGAGTTTATTCAACTGCTTTCCGGCAGTTCTCTTAAAGTGAGATTTAAACGAATGTCTACTGTTAAATTAAAATTTCTCCCTATTTTATAAAGAGTTCTAATTTCATAATTTCCTACAATAAAATTCCTTATTAAATATTAAATTCCTAAAAGTGTTCAGATTTATGGTTATACGTTTAATTGCAAAGTCAAGTCTCTTTTTTCTATTCTGAAATCCCATATAATACTTATTTTAAAACTCCCAAGACTATATTTATTCCCTTTTAAAAAACTTATTTTATAATCGGGTTTCAAAAACGAAATTTGAGGTATTCCACGTACACAAGAGATAAACCTTTGTATCGGTTTGGAAATATGTTTCGAATTCCTCTTTATGCTCAGTGTAGACGACCCAGATTAGGACATTCTCTGGCAAGCTGAAACCAAAAAGTCAAGCCTTCCCTCAATGAGCCCAAAAGACACTGCAATTCCACTTGTTCGCCCTGAGGTTGGGCCAATTTTATATAATCGTCCTAGGGGAGGACAAAGGAAGGTGACACAAATCTCTTCGCAGGAAAGGCACACAAAAAAGAAGAGATCGGGGAAAGGGACTGGACAAGTAGCCGAAAGATGGTCGATAAGGCCGAAAATTGTTGGGCAAACGTTACACGAGACATTAAGTGGGTGAAGATGCAAATGGCTAAAGTACCCGTCCATTGTCCTTAGTAGATTTCCACAATTCCTGACTGATAAAACTAAAGTGCAACCGTTTTTGGTTGCATCGGACATTAGTTGACCCCGAATTTATGGATAAATATGTCTGACCGGTCGGGGTTATAATTTGGCCAGCATATCGAATTACGCAACATTTGCCAGTGAAATTCAATGCAGCCAGACCTACCTACACACGGCTATGTATCTTTGTGAATGAACTGACTGATTGACGGACTGACAATGCTCCAGTATCGTATGCAAAGCGTTGGCTGTCCAATGAATGAACCCTCAGACCCTCAAAATATATCCACAAAACAGGAGCTGCTCTACAGCTGTTTGTTTCTTAAACTGCAACTTATTCATAAAACACAAATGTGCACCGAAAATAATAACACAGAAACAAGGTTATGGAACTATATTAAAAGTAACATAAATGCTGGAATTAGTATATCTGAAAGGCATTAGAAAGTTTGAAACCTTTTACAAATATTAAATATATAAATGTTTTTGCATTTAAAGAACTATTAAACGTATACTTTAAAGACCCTTAATCTGTTTTAATTAAAAACATATTAAATACTATTCAAGAATTAAATGTTTGCAATGTTTCAATACTCACACAGTATTCATTTATTTTCTTTAATAATAACTCTGAGTGTTTATACATTTTTGGTGCATTTAATACGATACAAGTTGGCATTTTAACCCCACTTAGCTGGCTTTCAGAATGTTGCATACCAAATGAGAGATCGAATTTCCAGTTGGCTCGATTAACGCATGTGTTGAATTAAAACAACACAAAAAACGCAGAGAATTTATACGTTGCACTTTTATTTTATGAGAGGGGACTCCCCCAGACGCTTTAGTCTGACGTTTTTTTTTTTTTTTAATAATGATCATTTTCATTTCATTTACGCGTGCCCGAGCCACTGATCGTGGCGATAAGGGAAGTTAGTCAGTCAGTCAGGTTCGGCCAAGGGTCGGTAGTGCGCCTCCTCTCCTCTCCTACGGTTACCCCAATTAAAGGACTCGCCCTCGTTCTCATTCTCGTTCTCGTCCTGGCCAAAGTGTCGCCTCCTGCGGCTTGGCGCTTGCCCAGCTGACGTGTGGCTGCCTATGTGACGGGTTTATCACTCGATCATCAACCGGAATGATTAATGCCAGAGGTATATACATATGTGAGTAAATATTGCTGAGTGATCGTTTAAGACTTTGAGCAGGATGAGCAGACATAGCAGACTTTCGCTGGCGAACTCGGGTTGTTGTGACAGTTGCGCTTAAATTTTTAATTAGTCGCCGTGGCTGAGGCTTTCTCCTCCGGCTCCTGCAATTGCGTTCACTTAATTACGATTCAAGGAGTTGGAGAGGAGAGAGCGGAGTGAGGAGGGCAGGAAAAAAGCATTTGGGAGGTGTAACCCGATATGCTTGTGAGTGGACGCGAAACAATGGAACGGCGAACGGAAAGGGTGCCTGCTTTCGTCCTGCTCGGGCTTTGTTCTCTTCTCCCAGGATGACGCAAAAAGCAAACGATGACATTATAATTACACACACACTCGCACACACAATGAAAAGTAATTACAATCCAATTGCAATCGCAATCGCTTGAGTACTTAACAAATCCCATATACATGTATATATACATAAATTTATCTCCATTTCTATCTGATTCTGTGCGCTGAGGGGATTAGTGTTTAGTGGTGAAATGCCTTTGATTCCTTATCACGATGGTGCGACGGGAATTTCTATGGCTGTCCACGGTGAACGCCATTTAATCAAAACATATTTCGCGGACCATCAGATGCATCCGATCTGGGATTTATATCTGAATCTGCGGCTTGACTTTTTTTTCTTTTTCTCTGTCCTCGGGTCGCGTATCATTTGGCGGGGCTTCCCATGGCGTTGGTCGAAATATTGCAACAACAAAGACTAAACTCTATAAAGCAAAGACTGAGAAACCAAAAACTAATATCATCCTCTTCACAAATGTCACCATTTTTGGTTCTTTTTTGTTTAGTCTCGTCCTCAGGACTGTGGGATATGACCTAAGCCGCTCCCCAGGCACTGCAATATTGGTTATAATCCCGTTTAGTGACAAAGCAAAGTTCGCTACTCCTGCCCATTCGAGTGTTCAATATTTTGCCTACTTTTGCGGCCAGGTTGAGTACCCCTCAGAAAACCCGCACCGCTAAATGTCAACAATGTAAAATAATAATTCCCGGTTAAAATATGTAAGGGGAGAGTCCCGCACAGACGGGTCGGGATGGGCCAATTAGAGTGTGCAAATCTTTTATGCATGAACGATTCCTAAGCGGTTTTTGGGTTCACTCTCCTTTCTAAATTTATTTATTTAAATCAATTTCATTAATGCGACAATGTGCGGGTAATACTTTTTCAATTGCTTAATGCCGATCATTGGCGCAATTTACTAAACTTAACCCCAGACAGAATCATTTGTCAAAAAGAGACTCAGACTCAGTCATTCTGCTAGTCAGGCGCATTTGTTTGAACTTTGCTTAGATCTCATCGACACAATGAAAGCCCCACACACAGCCCGGGGACATCAAAGCAAAGACTTGACAAAAACTCCGAGAAAACCAGGGCGGGGAAAGGGAGCCAAGGAAAAACCAATGTTGAACGCCATGTTAAACAACTCAATTGCATAGCACACTTTTATCCCTCGAACAAAAAGGGATACCAAGACGGGGAGTTATGATGGGTGCCCAGAGCGAGAACCGCAAACAATTCATTAAGAGCTAAATAACAGCAACTGCATCCCTCATCATCAGCCATCGCCATCCCCCACATTTGACAGCCGGGGGGATGATTTGGAGCCTTCTAAATGGGGCAGGCGCACCGCACCCACTTCTAAAAACATGGCCGTCCACTTCCGCCGCAGGATGACACCAATGGAAATGGGAATGAATACCCAACCGTCCGCGGTTTGCCGCGGGCAGATTTATTTTGTATTTATTTCATTAGCCCAAGACGAGGTCTTGATTTGCGTAATTAGTTAAGCAAATAGCTACAAGCTTTTGTTTTCATTTTTCATGTCGACAAAGGTTGTTTTGTAAAAATTAGCCCTGTAATTGGGAGTAATTTCTTTTGTTTCCTTTTCTCCTTTTAAGTTTTTAAATGATTAATACGCAGTCTGCAAGCTTCTAGGTACTAAAGCTGGTAGGGAAACTGTTTAATTCGGCAATTATAGCTTCAAGTATTCGAGTTTTAGATTCATTTCATAAAACTCTTTGGAGAAATGTAAAAGTGTATAAAGAGGTTTGAGATACTACTTTTTCTCTTCCGTGGATTATTTTTATTATAAAAACCTTTAAGGGATTTGAAATTCTCTAAAAGGGTGCTATAAAACTTGTATTAAAATGTGAAATTCCCCATCGTTTTCATTTTCTCAATTACTCAACTTAAAAACCCCTTTTTTAGAACCTGTTTCTTCTATTTGCACTAGTAACCCGATAGGAGTTCCTCCCATTTTGGTCTTTCTGCGGCTGTTTGGGGTCTGGCTTCGGGCTGCCTCGAAACTAGCCGAAAGCCAAAGCGGCTTTCTCTCAATTGACGCTGTAAACATGAAGCCCATTAGAAGTGATTTGAGCTGCCAACTTGGGGAAGCCCCTGAAGAGTCCTCATAATTTCCCGAGTCCAGGTCCGGGTTGCCGGTAAACTTAATTGAAAATCATTACTGCCGGGTAGAGCGAGGCGAGATGGAGAGAGAGAGAGAAGCTCAGAGTGATAGTGAGAGTGGGTGAGAACCCCCACCTGACTATTGATTTCCACACCTGCACCAACGACACCCTTGGCCGCAGCAAAAGAGGTCAACTAAATGTTAATGTCACACACCGGCTCAAACACACACACTCCCAGAGCCTGTCTGTCTCTGAGTGGGCTTGGGTTGCAGTTGCTGCACTTGCACCCTCGAAAAGAAATCACAGTCGGTGACCCGGAGCGGTCAAAGTTTGCGGCAATGCTGAAATGGGGGGCTAAAACAGGGCCGGGTTTTGGCCGGGAGCTTAGCCCAACAGTCCGTTAAAAGCGGAATGCGAAAACGAGCTCAAGGGGTGGATATACTCGCCCATATTTACATACATACAGATACTATGTGGCTTGGCATTTTAGAACGGTGAGAATTGCATTTCGTTCGGCTTACATTTAACACCAAAGTTCAGTGGGTGCGTGGGAAGCTTAAAAGGCAGCAAATAAAAAACCAATGAATCAATCACAGTCGAGAGACAAAACCAACTTTGGCCAATTACATTCCGCCTGTTGTGACATGGCCCGAAAATAGAAGGGCAGACACAGGCTGAGAAACCCCGAAAAACCCTCCCCCGTGGAACTTTCCTCGATGCGAATATAGAACACATTATAACGAAAAGTGTTTCGTCTTGCCAGCATAAATAAATAAAATGTATTTATAAAGATGCTTTTAAGCCAGTAAGTTAACAAGGTTACACACACTCTCTAGAATATACTTAAACACTGAAAAGCAAGTACTTAGAAAGTGAAATTCTGGGTTCTTTAAGATTTCAAAATAATATTTTATATGTGTCAAAACCACGCAATTAAATATAATGAGATTACCCAAAGAAAACCCTAATATATGTCTTTATATTTTTCAAAAAATCAAATAGGAGTTTTAAGAGTAGCTATTAATTTATTGCCTTTTATATTCATTGCTTTTTAGGTTAAGAATCACACCTTATCTTTATATTATTAATTTAATGTCAGAGTCTCTTACTTTTTCTCCTGTGTATACTTTATATATATAACCTCCTTACAGAGGGTTGAGTGGGCCAAATTCTTAACAGCTGTTGTCAGTTATGGGGTTGTTAAGGGTCGCTAGCCCCTTGATTTTCCTGCTCCCTCTGCCTCTCCCCCCTGACCGAACTTTGATGCTTGAAGTTTCTTAGCTGGAACAACTTTTGGCCGCCGGCGAAATGGTAAATGCCTAATGGCTTCTTAAGTTCAGCCCGCATCCCGGAGGTTTTTTTCACGTCTTGATTTTGCGTAGCAATCGTTAGAATGCATAATTGATGGCAATATTAACCAATACCCTTTTGCTTCTATTCTTTGCAGACTCGGCTTCATTTCGCAGTGGGGAGCGCTTGCGGGTCGCTATGCCGCCCTGTGTCCGCCCGGATGGCCCTGGGCCCCCCAGCGGCTGCCCTTCCATAGTCCCACTCATGGTAAGTCAAAGTCCATTAAAAATAGCCAGCGGAGTTAGCCTTGTGCACCTCCTCTAAAATTAAGACAAGCAACTAACCATTAGTTGGTTTGAACTGACTTAAACTGAACTGTGCTGAACACATGCCACAGCGGCTTAGCATTCGTTTCATCCGCCTTTTAATTTAGTCGAGGAATGCGATGTGCCAGGCACATTCCTCATCGTTCACTGGACGAAATTGGGTCATTTAAACTTTAGAGTTTTATTTATTTAATTGAGATATATATAGCATTTGCATAAGATTTTTGCTTGAAAAGTAGTAGATTTTCTATTATAGTTATTAAATTTCCGATTTTATTTTATTTTAAAGTAAATTATAGTACAACTTAATAAAATATTTATATATCTGAAGTCTTATAATTTAGATAATTAAATCACTTTAAGATCTGAAGGACTAGATTATCATAAAGAAAGAATTTCTTCAATTCCCAATTTTAATTTTCTTATATACATTGAATTCAACCTACATATTCCAATAATAGGACTATCCCTTAGGATTCGTATTCCTCAAAAAGGACTATATATTTATACAAATAGATTTCTGTCAGTGCTCGGGCATTGCGCTGTAGTGGATTTTGTAGTTAATTTGTTTAGTCAACGGCAGCGACTAATGCCTCAAAGAATTTCGCCCCCAGAAGTAGACTATGCAAATGTCTTAAGCTCGCACACATACACACACACACTCGCACGTAGAGGAAGCCAGTGAGACGGCTGCTTTAATCGCCATTTGCAATTAATTGCAATTTGTAATCAAGTATCGAGTTACAGACAAAGCGATTGACACGCTTCAGTCAGTGGAGAGTGCAATTGCAAAGGCAATTGCAACTGCAATGCTTACTCTGCAACTGCAATTGCAATTGCAACTGCAACTGCCGCTCGCTTAAGCCCCACTTAATTGGACCCTTCGGGTATTAAGAGTCGTTGCAATTGCATTTGTTCATGTAAATTGGCCTTAAGTTCTTCACCTGTGCTAGCTCCGACTCCATTAGGCGTCTATCATGGCAGACAGCAGATCTCCAGAGTTTGGGAGGAGAAAGAAAGTTTTTTTTTCTATCCAGCTGATGGCTATTAAGGGCTTAAAATAATTAATTTCCATCCAAGGCAAATTACGGCAGTTTAAACTTTTCAAATGAGATCAAAACTAAAAGCTTCGATAAAAAGAAAATCGGACAAGCTGACTGACAGCCATTTTAAATGGTAATTTAACGCGCAGACAAGTCCACCCACACGATATGGCTATAATCTATATATCTATATGAGTGTATGTATGTATATATGGGCAATGGGATACTCTCGGCGTCTGCGCTGTAAGGGTAGGCGATAGCAACAACAAAACAACAACAATCACAACAGCAGAAAAGTGGAAAAGATAAAAACGCTGGGGCGACAAGTGTGAGGTTAAGTGTTGCAGCTTAAATCTGCACAGATATATGTATGTATCTAAGTACGTACTTGGGGCAGCAACCCCCATAGAGAACCACCCTCGCCCCCCCCAAAAAAAACCACCCACTGAGACTGACAAATCAACTAATACAATTTTGAAGCTCTCTCTCTTTCTGAGTTTCTCCCTCTCTAATTTCTCTCTCTTTCTCTCTATCTCTCTCGCTTTGCAGACAGTTCCTCGACGAACACAACGGAGAATCCGCCTTCGCCCACTTCCATGAGTCCCAACAACAACAACAACACAAGCAGCACTGCCAACAACAATGCCAGTCAGGCCAGCAAGTCGCCCTCTCACCACCCCCTGCATCCCCTGTACCATCCCCACCATCAGCAGCAACAGCAACAACAACAACAGCAGACACCACAGCAGCAGCAGCAGCAACAGCATCCACAGCAGCAACAGCATCCACACCAGCCCACCACGCCCACCAGCAGCAGCAGCAGCGGCGGCGGCAGCGCCCACCATCCGCACTCGCATCCGCATCTGGCCGGCTCACATGGCGGATACTTGCTGCCCGGCAGCTCCAACGAGTCGGACGAGGAGGGTGAGGAGATCATCGAGGAGGATGACGGCACCGACGGACCCTCGGACAGCTCATCGCCGCACGGCGACGGCAATGGGTCGAAGCGTAAGAAGAAGACCCGCACGGTGTTCTCGCGGGCTCAGGTCTTCCAGCTGGAGTCCACCTTCGATCTGAAGCGCTACCTCAGCTCCTCGGAGCGGGCGGGTCTGGCGGCCTCCCTCCGTTTGACCGAGACACAGGTGAAGATCTGGTTCCAGAACCGGAGGAACAAGTGGAAGCGACAGTTGGCCGCCGAACTGGAGGCTGCCAACATGGCCAACATGGCGCATGCGGCCCAGCGATTGGTGCGAGTGCCGGTGCTCTACCATGATGGAACCACGGCCGGATTTGTGCCACCTCCGCCACCACACCACCATCCGATGCAATACTATGCGGCGGCTGCGGCCCGCAACACCAGCCCACCGCGACCGCCGCTTTCGTCGCTGGTATAGGGCGTGGGGTGCCTGGCGGCGCCCATGTCGCTGCTGAAGCCGCCCACCCCGCTGTCGCATACGACTGGTCCGTCGGTCCTGCACCTGCCGCAGCAGGAACTCCGGGAGCGGGACCGAGAGCGAGAGCTCCAGGACTCTGATGAGGAACTCGAGCGAAGCCACCTCGACGACGATGACGATGCAGCCATCGATGTGGAGGCGGATGAGGAGCAGGAATCCGGATCGCCAGTCCCATCGGCCACGCCCTCTCAAGCCAAGAACGGTCTTTGCCTGGAAAGCAAAGAGAACACCGGTCAGCACATGGAGGTCACCGCTGCCATGGATAATTCCATGAACCAAAAGGTCTACTGAGCCAAATTCAACCAAGTGGCTAGGCGGAAGTAGAATCAATATTGATTTCCAATCACTCCGCTTAACGGCCACACAAATTGGTTTCAAGTTTTCAATAGTTTGTTCCTATTAACCCCTGTATATAGCCAGTCAAGGTCCTTGTAAATGTCAATGTCTCTTGCTCAATAAGTTTAGGCTTTAAAAAATACATATATCCCACTCCATGTACATAAATACACCATTAAGAACTATATAGTGTGGGTGCTTAATTTTCAATACGTTTTTTGTTTGGCTTTTGGAATAAAATTAAATTGCTGGTCAAGTGTAAGTTAAGTTCGAGATATATGCTAAGCCAACAACAACCCGGGGGAAATCTGGGAAAAATGGCAATGAATGTTTAGTGTTTAGAGCTATTCGTAAGGGCTATGCGTGTGTCAAGCAATTACCAAATAATTAGTTAAATTATTTATACTTTTAATCGAATGTTAACATAATCCAAACTTCAACTGAAACCAAAACAAAACTCATAACGTACACACACACCCTTTCACAGACATGAAATGCTTATAAATATACAAACAACAAATTATACATATAAAAAGTATTAATAAATTATATTAACATATAGAAAAAACAAAAACTAATTCAATGTTCTTTGCCGTTGGGTCTTTACAATGTGTATTTGTGGGAGTAAGTATTTAACTTCTTAACGTTAGAGGTTGAACTTTAAGAAACTTTTATACTGAAAAAAGTACAAATATAGAGGAAAACAAATAAATAAATGAAATAGCCAAAGTATTAGGTACTGAGTCTATACTTTCTGTATCCTTTAAAATATATGTATAATTAAAATGTTTCTCTCTTAGTTTGAAATCCTAACCCTTTTTGTGTGAGCCCAGTCGACCCTTTTAAGCATCTGTCCACAAAATATATTGTCTCTTCATCGAATCTTGCCCAGGACTCATCCTTCTATCTATGATTGCATCCTGGCGTTGTGTGGCAATTTGCTGGCATTTGAAATAAATGTTTTTCCACGGATATATTCCGGCCATTTTGCCTGAAAGCGATGGCAAGCGCTTATTTACGTTTAATTGCCAACGCAAATAAACGCGGTCGCATTCATACAGTGAGAAAAAATACAAATAATTTCGCAAAGTATACCAATAAAAACTTTTAATGATTTTCCCGTTTAAATATATTATTTATTAACTTTAAAGTAGTTTAAAGTAAAACTTACATAGTTGCAGAGCACAGAATAAGATTGATATATATCGCCAAGAGAAGACTTACAGAGAAGGTTTCCTCTTGAATTATTTTTCATACATGAAGTATACATCTTTAGCAATAAAATACAATGATTTTATATTTAAAATTTGTTTTTTCCGGGTGTATTTGTACATAATAGCCGTACACAGACAATAACAATGCCTCTGCAAACAGCTCTTGCCACAATTGCTGCAATGCATGTTGGCGCTTTTTGTTTTATTTGCATCGCAGGCGTTTTAAGTTGCCATTTATTGTGCAGTTTGTTGCAATTTAGTCGCGTCGAGCCTCCATTTCCTGCCGCCGCTTTGGGTCCTTTGGGCCGATTGGGTTTCGCTCTTCACTCTTCGCCTCGCCTCGCATCGCGTGTTAAATTGCAAAATAAATTGCGAATTGTGTGCGCTGCAAATAAATGGCAATAAAAATGCATAAAATGTTTTTTCGCCATGCCTAACAAGCGGCGGCATTGCCGGCAAGTTTGAATTACCAAACGCATGGAGGCATAACTGTGATTCAGCAGATATCTGCCTCTGTATATAGAGGCATAATTATAGGCGATTGTGTGGAGTGTTGCAGTTCACACGACTGCGCATAAATGGCGGGCGTTAAAATCGATTTGTTTTTATTGTACAAATAAATGTACTATATATATTTATATATATACATATGTACATTTTAACGCCTGGTTGATGCGCTTGTTTGACGCAAATCGTTTGTTTATTGGCTTGGATTTCATTCCGTTGATAAATCACTGGCCGAAGGCTGGATTTAAGGATTGCTGGCTGCTAGGAAGAGTCTTGTAATCAATTCGAATCGGATCTCAAGAATTAGACTGGCCAACAATTGTCAAATTCATTTTCCATTTCGTCCCCTAAAATGGGGACTTTCCCCACAATGACAAAGATAAGCATTGTTAAAAGCAAAAAAAGGGGTTTCAGCCTTCGAATTTCTCCCCAATGTTTTCAGCACTTTTTGTCCAAAGCCAACTGAACAAATTAGGCAACCTTTTATTCGGTTCTCTCCCCAGCCTCAGCCTCAGAATGCTCTCCACAACATTTTTGTATGGATGCAGTCAAGTGCTTGAGCATTTTATTTAAGCGCATGAATGGATTTGATGATGGCTTTTCTTCGCCGAAGGAGGAAATGTGCCCGAAAAAAGAGCAGAGCGAAAAATATATTTCAATTCATTTCATAAAATGCCTCAAAATTGTAGCGAAATTATAAAAATTGCCTGCCCCCAGACTTGGGCCTCCGCAGGTTTTGGCAGACAACGAGCACTTTGGTTGGTTGCTTTTGGCTTTTTGCCTCTTGATTTTTGTGAATGCAGCTTGGCTCCCATTATATTCCTTCTATCCTTTCTGTTTTTTTTGGGCTCTTTTTGGCCACATTTGCTCATATGTAAAGTGAATTGTTTGGGCGGATTTGGGGAGTCGTTGTGTGAGTGGGACTGCTGGATTATGAGATCGCCTTCTCTCAGTTATCAGTTAGTTGGAAAGTCTATTAGTTATGTTAGTAAAAATGCAAGAATTTTGAAATATTTATTTAATATATTTTTTACTATAAATAAGTAGTAGTAAGTAAGTAATAAATAAGTAAGTAATAAAGTAAGTAGTATAAAGTAAGACCTAGTCCAACCATAGGATGTTGTAGTGCAAGAAACGAGCCCTGCGCCTACGTATTATAATGCTATTATAATATATACATTTTTATGATAATATGGAGAGTTATCTTTTAAGAAACTGAAGATTATATATTTGAGTTTAAATAAATTTAATTTATTCAAGTTGAAAGTATTTATACATTATTTTCTAAGTATTTGGGACTATTTTATGGTGTAGCTTTCTTTAGATAATAGAATAATTCTAGCTTTTTGCAAGTTGAGAAATAATACTTATTTGCTCTTACAAACAAAAGTAAAAAAATATATTTTTCGTTAATTTCATATAAAATATATATTATATATCTATTAAATGTTAAGTAATAATTACAATTTACCAAATACAGTAACTTCTAGCTCATTGCTTATTCGGCTTTACTTAACTGATTTTCCATTGGCTTTCCCATCCCCCTCGTTACCAACTTTTTTCGGTCTTTTTGTTAATTTCATTTGCCGTTCTCATATGTGAAGTGGTTTTCAGCAAATAGCGCCCAAGCGGGGGTTGGGTCTGCCAATTTGGAGAATCCTGGGAGGGTTTTCATCAGGGGCTGGTTTTGGCGCTTTTGGCAGACGCTGTTTTGCCTGCAGTAATTTCTTAATTAGCTTGCGAACACAATGTGCTTATATACCACATAGAACTTACTTACATAGAGTATGCTTATATATATTTGATGTGTATATATGGAAGCGTTTTGGCAAACATTTTTTTTTTTTGGCTTTAGGTTATGCAGCATTATGGCTTGGCTGTGCAGCAGTTGGGAAAGCCAAGCGGCGGGTACTTATTTTAATTGCAGCCTTTTTGGGCCTGAAGTGGCGCAGCTTAGCGCAAAGTTTACCCACTATCTGTGTCAGCTATACACAGGAAAAAACTATTACGATATAAGGAATTTAAGGTAGAAGATATTGAAGTTTTTAAATAAAATTATTGCTATTCAATAGACTATGAGTCATATCCCTCATTTAATTCCGCTGCAGCTTAGTATTTTAGCCCGGAGTCATTATGTTTATTCTGTATTACTATTTAACCTTATATCTTATGAATATTAGCTATATTAAGTCTAACTAATGACTTCAATTATCCAAAATATGTAAATAATACGAGAACTCTTTAGAGGCATTACTCCTAATTCTTCTGAGTATCGTTTTTAAAAATGTAACCGCCACCAGGTTCTTTTCCATAGTCTGAAATATTTAATATATATAGTAGAAATATAGTCTAGGAACTGCAAAATAGAGTACATTTTGGCACATCTAGGAAACATACTTGAATAAAATTGGACAGGGCGTGGTTTTCCCCTGATTTTGACAGAAATGTTTTCTGCTTCACTTGCCATTATATTTATCTATTTTTGTTGACAGTTCAATTAAGTACAATGGCCACAACAGTTAAATTACGCTTAAAAAAGGACTCGCACAAACACACTCAAACACTCATATAGAACCCACAAGGATTGCCATTTTTGTGGTTCGCTTTTTTCCGTTCGCCTTGGAGTGTCAGTTTGGACATTATGCCTGTCGCTCTTTTATACTTTATTATCCATTTAGCACATTTATTTTATTTCCCATTCGCCGGTGCCTGCTGTTGTGGTTGCTGCTGCTGCCAGTGTCCTCGCATTATCCTTGTTCCTGTCGTTACGGCCGCTGGTCAGCCGCCACAAATGTGGGCAATTTTTGCTCAACGCGATGTTTCTGGTTTTTTATGGACTTTATTTTTTAGCAGTTGTGTGCGAGAGTGTTTTGTGTGTTGTGT